ACATGTCCATTAGAGATGGGCAATATGACAATAAGTTATAGTAATAGTGATAAATTGCGCTGCATAGGTATCGTCAGCACATTTCGAGTCTAGAACAACTGCATGGATCATACATTAGACAGATTTAGACCAGTTTTACAGACTATAAACAACAACAGCAACCAGCGAATAAAAATGTAAACTTCATGGGAAGAACTGTTCCATTAACTTAATGTATTACTAAATTTATTTTTAATCAATTGTTTGATTATTCCATCTCAAATATCTTATTTTTTAAAAAAATGTTTGTACACCACCATTCAGAAGTTTGGAATCACTATTCTCAATAATATAAAATGGATATGTTGAAAATACATTATAATATCTAAACAATGTTGTACTTTACAGGTACCAACTAATCATAAGAAGCTGTAAAACACGAAGAAATGTTAGATGTGCTCTGGATGATGAGCTAAGATGTAAATGGTTGTATAATGACTGAGAAAGCTGCACAGCATTGACTGGAGTTATAAAATAAACATCCAGAATGCCTCACATTAGAAGCATGGTGATCAAACCTAAAGGAAGATCACGTGATTTTTATCATGTAATAACTTCTTGATGTTCCCAAAATTAACATACAGTCTGGTGTCTAAATTTAACAGTATTTCAATCTAGGTTCTTACTGAATAAAATAACAGCTATTATTAATATTCCAAAGTTATGCTAAACTTCTGAACACTAGTTATAGCTCTTCCTTTCTTTTTGTAACGCGGCACAACTGTTATTTGGTGCATTTTGTCCGTTCTCAAATCTCAGCAAAACTAAATATTGCGATATGTTATGCCCTCAAGAATCATGGTGTTATATTTTTGACACATCGCCCACTCTTGCTGTCCACTGCACAAAAAGATATATTGCTTTTCGTGCTGCACTGCACAGTCGATCTGCGCTGAGAGGCAAACCAAAGCTTCAGGTCTTTCAAACAAAAAATGCAATAAATGTCTGAAATGGAACAGCAGAATAGCTACAGTGAGGTCAGACCACTTGTGAACTTTTCTTCATAATAACAGATAGCAAGTCAGATACGTCCAGGCACTGGCCACGGCTGGTAAACCAGCGACACGAGACACGAGAAAGCCCACCATTTTTGGAAGTTTGTTTTTACAGCCAGCACGTCACTGTTGACCTATTAGAAAAAGTAGACAGGAGAGGTTGAAATCCTCTGGGGAAAGATATCCATCTGTTTATAGTCACAATGGACCCAAACAGGCGCTCACTCTGTGCCAAATATGGCCACGGGAAACCGGGTGCGTGGCCAAATTTCCACTGGTGTAGGATCAGCAGCTCCCCCCACCCCTACATGCACACACACACACACACATACACGCACACACACACAGATACACACACATACAATGAAGGCAATGTCCCCACCAAAACTATTAAAATAACAACTCTAGGCTGTTTGAATAGAGCAAAGTTTGTCATCTTAAGCCAAGAGGCGACGGCACTGGAGGATTCTTTATCAGAAAGCATTACAGAAGGCTTTAATCAGAGTGAACTAATCCACTTAGGGTGTGAGAGGTGACTGTGTGCAGAGGGATATCTTCATACATAAGGAGGAACCTAATCTGGGGTATCAAATTGCTTATTGCTTCCTCCATAACCGTCTCAAGAGGTTCATAAGAACTCATATCACCAATTATACAAGCTAAACAGCATTAGATATTCTAGTTCAGAGTGACGTTTTTTGATTTGATTTAGGTTTGCATTTAGGGCTGATGAATGTTCCTGTTTATATGGGAAAGCTGTAAGCAATTGCAATGCACAATTATTGCTTATTTGCTTGATTTAACATATTAGGGGAAAAAATATCAAATGTGGTTTGTCCAAAAGTCATGGCACTTTTTATATTTTGTGTTTTCTTTTTTTCATGTTATATCAGCAAATAAGTAGAAATTGTGCACTTTAGATTTGTTCCCTGTAGACAATGTGCTAACTTACTTATTTTCAAATACACAAATTATGTGATTTGACTGTGTTTTTGCACATGAACTGTACACTATGAATGCACCTATAAAGCATCTCAGAGTCAGAGAACCAATCTACAATCAGCCTTTTTCCATTGCATTGATTCGGACATAAAAGTAAAAAAAACTGATCCTGGGTCAGCACTACTTTCAAAACATAGGAGGTTTATCTTAAAGTCTTAGTGAGGTCACGAAAAGTAGCCGAATATTCAAACAAGCTCATGCGAGTTACGTTTTCATGCACAATTTCTCAAACAACAACCATGAAAGTCTGCTTTTTACATTCAGACCTGGCCTAAAAAATCCTGAATTTTAAACTGTAACATTTAAGCTCATAAATCTTAAAAGTATGAATATTCTAAGTAACGTTCTCTGACCTCTGAAGCCGTGTGTCATTTTGTAGCCTGTGAAGAAACTTAACTGTCACACTTGCACATTCTTGCATGAACATATGAACAAAAACTCACAACATTGTGTACGGAACACTAATAATTTACACACTTGACCTACCTCTGATAATGCTGCATATATTTTGTAATGTTACTGTCTATGCACCAGTACACTTGTATGCATCAGTACACCTCTATGCACCAGTACACTTCTGTGTTTCTCCTTTGTTTTGTATTTATTGTCTATTTATTACTATTTTTCATACATGTTGTATATATATGTATATTGTCTATTGTTCTACTGGTACTTCTGCACTCTTTGTTCACTGCCCAGTGTATCACATACACGTTTTATCTACTGTCCTTGTCCCCCTGCATATGTACAACGGCAATAAAACTTGAAGTTATTGGAATACATTACATACTTACATAGGTTGCCAGCCTTATTATGTCAGTTCAATGTGCAGCTCTGTTAGCTTGTATGTAGTATCATTCGCATTTTGACTCCTTAACAACTTCGCAATTAAGAGGATCCGGTGATATCCATACATAAGACAAAATGTGTCAGCTTTGGAATATTTTGTTTACCACATAGTGGCAATTTTTGAAAAAAAAATAAATAAATAAATACTTCTACTATTGAGAAAAAAGTAAAGTAAAGCTTTCATAAATAACAACCACAACTGTGTGCGAAACTGTGCCCTATTAACTATATACTACACTATTTTGGGGTTCCGCATTTCATAGGGGTGTCCGCAGAAGATACAATGCACCACGATAAGTAGTGTACAACCGATGTACCCTAAGGGATGGGGATACCTATTATGCACTACGTCGTTTGGTTTGAAGATTCACCTGCAGCATCTTTTGGCTGGTTTACAAACCCAGCAACGTCTCTACAGACCTCACTTTAGACCTGTTACAGATGTTAGAAAGCTCTTGTCATGTATGCAGTCAAACTCGGTGTCGCACACTAATGAGCAAACCCGCACGACGTAGCGTCTCTTTACAGCCATTACGAATTCTGTTCCCTGTAATAGTGTTTTATGTAGTGATGCAGATTTTCAAATATATACCCTACATTACAGTGATTAAGGTCATTACAGTGAATGTATACATAACATTACAGTGATTAGGGTCATTACAGTGAATGTATACCCTACATTACAGTGAATGTATACCCTACATTACAGTGATTAGGGTCATTACAGTGAATGTATACCCTACATTACAGTGAATGTATACCCTACATTACAGTAATTAGGGTCATTAAAGTGAATGTATACCCTAAATCACAGTACTCAGGGTCATTAGAGTGAACGTATACCCCACATTACAGAGATCAGGGTCATTACAGAAAATATATACCCTACATTACAGTGATTAGGGTCATTACAGTGAATGTATACCCTACATTCCAGTGATTAGGGGAAAATTTCGAACACAAAATGTGTTTTTATTGTTTTGTTTGTTTTTCTACTTGTTCCTCTGTAAATCTACATACAATGTAAAATGTTAAATTTAAATTGACATTTTTACTCCAGTTTTCACAAAATATTTACGAGAATTTAAATTTTTTTCACAAAAATTCTGACTTTGTATGGTTTTTCTCTCGTTCACATCTCGCCAAAAAAACGTTATTTTCCGTCAGCATTGCGGGCTCGCGTGCGAGAGCTCAGCCTTTTAAACGTCCGCGGGATTTCCTGTTTGAATTTGAATGCTCCCTCCTGATTGGCTGCCGCTGCTCTGCGGCGGAACGCGCACCCGCTCCGCTCGCGCAGGCAGCAAGCTCGCGGCGAAGCGTCGCCTCCAACGGCCGGATCGCACAACTTTAGCGCGGGGCTGAAGAGCGGAGGCCCCGGAGGGAGAGTCAGTGTAACGGCACTGACCGCGGCCACGAGCCAGCCGTCAGGAGAAGATGTCGAAATCTCGAAAAATTCACTCCGAAACGTCGAGTTTCAGTATTAATGTACGAGCAACACAAAAACATCATCTGCTGTAGTTGGCTTCTTGTTCGAATTTTCCGTTCCACCTTAAATGGCGCAGCAGTACCATTTTGGCACCGGGCGCCAGAATGTAACTGCTGCGCCATTTAAGGTGGAACGGAAAATTCGAACAAGAAGCCAACTTCAGCCTCATTTCTACTGTACGTTATTTCACCATCGCTCGGCGTCAGTGCTGAGCACGCTTACGCTGGCAGCGTAATGTCAGTGAGAGCCCGAGTTATTCTGTGGAAATACGACACACAGCATTACAGCACTTCCAGTGTAAAACGTCGCTTTCCAGTCAGTGAATGAGCCAAACTTGTGTGTCAATGTGACACAGACATTAATGTTAATAGGGCAGGAAACTTCTGCGACACGTTTTCGTCACGAACCCACCAAAACGTGTCCCAACAGGCAACTGCTGGTACACTGATAATGTGAACTGAAGCAATTTTCTTGTTTACCTTAATGAGCCCTCAGTGTCAGTCAGTGCAGTTGCAGTCAGGGCTACATTATGAAACGCTTAAAGTCATACCTGTTCTGTGGAGCTAAGGGACAATGAGCCGTGTAAATCCACCAATGACCCCCTTCAAAGTATTCATTTGGACACTTACATTGTCAAATAAGGAGCCGACGTTTGCGGTGACTAGTAACACGTCCGTGTGCAGCTCCATGCTAAGCGAGAATCCAGAAACGGTCCAAGGGGGAAAAATACAGTCCGGGCTGCTGTGCTGGGGTTTTGTTGTTGCTGCTGCTCAAGGCGCCGAACGCGAGAAGCAGTGAGAAGAAAACGGCTTACAGACACGGTTCAGACCGCTCTCCTCGGCTCGACACACACTTCTCCACACAGGCGTTGATGTGCTGCTTCATGTTTGTACTCCAGTCAGCTGAAGTCGACCGGCCACATTCCTCACTCTCCGTTAAGTCGTCCAGCCCGTCGGCTCCGCGCACGGCGACGGCGGGGTTTCTCCTCCTCCGTTCATGTTAATTGGACTTAGGTTCTTAGCTGCATTAGCCTGGAGAGGACGAACCCTGTGGGGCGGGAGTTGGAGTCGCTGCTGCCCTGTCTAACCTAGCTAACCTGCAGGTTTGGGCTCGGCTACAGCAGCTTTTTTTGCCGCTGTTATGGCTCGGTGTTTTGGCTCCGCCCACTAAAGCTAGTAGTGGAGGTTCACTGTACAACCTGCAGCCACACACTCGGCTTTGGGTGCGCAGCTGATACATGTAAGACATGATAACAGTAACTTAGCTTAAAGGCAGACAAACGTTGCAGTCCGAGCAGCGTCTGCAATATTGTCAGAGAAACTGTACTGTGCCTGCCAAGATATGGCCTAATTGCTTTCATTTATGAGCTAATTTTGATTTGGCAGCAGCAGCTCAGCACAACATGGGGCTGGACTGTGGAAGTGAACTGAGTGGGTCAGTATTCTCACCTCTGACCCAACCCCAGTAATTAGATTATGGTTATACAGTGAGCTGTGTTTTTTCATTTTCATATTTGCCAGCTCAAAATCTGCTGCAAGGGGTACTGCTACTGTCACCACCATCAATAATAATAACAACAGAAACAATAATAAATAATAATAATAAAATAATAATGATAACAGCAACATTATAACCATCATTATAATCACAATAACACTTTATAACATAATAATTATTATTAATAATAATATAATAATAATAATAATAATGCTATAATTGTTATGTTTTTTTCCATTGAATAAATGAACTGAAGTTTCTAAATGTACAGAGGTCATACTACTCTTAAGCATTGCTCAATAACAGTAAGACTACTTAGTGCAGTAGATTAGAGAGTGTGTGTCTGTGTGTGGGGGGGGGAGGGGTTACTAGTTCTAAATATCTAAATATACTAGATCTAAATATAGTTAATTATTACAGAGTACATCATTTACATCACATTCATTACAAAGCAATGGCAAAAACATGGCAAAAAAATAAAGGACAGATTCCCTTTTCAAAAGTTTAACACTTCTAGTAAATAATAGTTAACCTCAAATTACTACATGTGTTTGCTGTTGCTGCTCAGAAGAGTGGTAAGGGTTAAAGCTGCTGGGCATCGCTCTTTCTTTACATGAACTTGGGCTTAAAATGTATATATATATATATATTAAATCACTGTTGTCGGAAGAAAACCTCGTATCTCCAGAATGATCACTTTACAAGAGAAGGAAAAAACCTAATATATTTTTAATGTAAGTCAATGGAACCAGACTTTTTTCCATGTCATTTTGGGCCGTTTCTTTTGGTTCATGCATCATAAAATTTACAGACATTGTAAAGGGCAGCAGGTATTTTCAAATTATGTCAAAAACTGAAAAACGGCAAAAACGGAGATATAATGTTTTCTTCCGACAGCAGCGATACATATATATGTGTGTGTGTGTGTTATATGCATTTTATTTTATTTTTATTACATAGTATTACATATAGGCCATTTTATAAATATGTAATACCTGTATGGTATATTAATATGTATAATATTTAATAACAAATGTTCCATATGCATTTTTTTTTATGTATTAAGAATTTTCTAAGCCTAATTCTAACCCTAACCCTTTCAGTTTTAAGTTAGCAGGACAGCACTGTGCTTCTCTGATTTTCCAACAAAGTTTGTCCTGAAAACGTATGAAAACAAACAAACCGACGCGCACACACAGAAACACATGCTGAGTGCTGATCAGGGAAAAGCTCGGCAGCGACAACTTAAATTAATGACTATTATTCAAGTTAAATGAAAGGAAGTCTTGGCAGAACAAACTGTCCCCAGTGCCCAATACTCAACGCTGCTCTGTCCACTCATACATCAATTTACAATCCAGTTTCTGCAACACCCGTTGAGCCAATGACAGAATGTGGTGTACGCCAGTACTGATAGAGTGGTAATTAGGAGCTATGGGGATGTTTAGAGCGCAGGTTGTGATGCCAACACTGGGCTTCATGCCTTTTAACATGGCTTAATTAATGTTAAAAAAGCCTTTCAAACACACAGTTAAAAGACTTCTCTAGGAGCTTCCCTTTGGCACCGTCTATGGCATACAGAGAGGTGCAAATTAGAACAACTATACTGTGGGACACCTATGGATAAATCAACAAGCAGCAAACTTACAAAAGCATTAGTAAAGTGGAAAGCTACAGTTCCCCTCAGAGCCTCCATTTCCCAAACACCCCCCTCTGGCCACTCTCCATGGCCCGGTAGTGCTGTCAGCAGTTTACTGAAGCCCCTCAGTGGTGCTGGGGACACATGTCCCCAAGATGTTGGTGGCTGTCTCCAGCTGCCCTCCCTTTGCAGCACAGTCAGACTTTGTGCCTCCTCTGGCCATTATGTGTGGCCCTCAGTGGTGCTGTCAGGCCTGGTGCCCCCTACTGGCTGCTAGCCATGGTCTGTGGTGGCGCTGTCAGGCTTGGTGCCTCCTTCTGAACACCATCTGTGTCCTTTGGTGGCACAGTCAGGCCTAGCACCCCCTTCTAGCCAATATCCGTGGCCTTCTGTGCCGCTGTTAGGCTTAGTGTCCCCTTCTGGATGCTATCCATGGCCTTAGGTGGCGCTGTCAGGCCTGGTGCCTCCCACTGGCCGCTATCCATGGCCTTCGGTGGCGCTATCAGGCTTAGTGGCCCTTCTGAATGCTATCCGTGACCCTCAGTGGCGCGGTCACGTTTGGTGCCCCCTTCTGAACGCTACCTGTGAGCCCATCTCAGAACGCCTTGAGTGGTGCTGTTAAGCCTGGCACCCCCTTCTGGATGCAATCCATGGCCTTCGGTGGTGCTGTCAGGCCTGGCACCCCCTACTGGCTGCTAGCCATGGCCTTCAGTGGCACCGTCAGCTTTGATGCCCCCTTCTGGACACTATTCGCGGCCCTCGGCAGTGTCATGCCTAGCGCCCCCTCTGGCCACTTTCCGTGGCCCTCAGTGGCACCATTTGCCTTGGCAACCTCTTGTGGCCAGCTTCCGCTTGGGATATACATCCTTGAGGGAATGGCGGCTGTCTCTGGCCCATGGCCATTGACTGTGCTGTCAGGCTTGGTGCCCCTTCTTGACCGCTTTCTGTGGCCCCAAGTGGTGCTGTCGGGCTTAGTGCCTCCGTTAGGCCATTCACTGTGGCTTGGGGCATTCCATTATAACAACAATCTGTGAGCTGAATGAGCAAAAGCGAGAGTTTACCATCACAGAGGAGTTCGAACCATCGGCTGTGTGTATGATATATACAAACATGGGAACGCTGTAGATCTCACAGATGTCCGTGATGAACTGCGTTCCCTCTATGGAAATCACATGATTTTCATGTTCAGCGTTACGTAAACCCTGTTTCACATGATGAAAACAATGTAATTGAATTATTGAAAGTAATAAATCCATTAAGATGAAGCTTCCTTTGTCCACTCGGATAGCTATAACAAAACACAGCTTTTAAAATTTTTACACAGGCTTACAAATGAAGCTCTACCAGTTTGACATACATGACAGACTTAAACTTTGCAAGATTGTTTTTATTAACTGGTTTGACAAGTTCATCCATATTCAGTATGACTTAAGCACTTGTGATGTGTTTTTTGGTGGGGGGAGGGTGGTTTGAGATTCAGCTTTGCGAATGCTAGAAGGGAAGGATAAAAGATGTTGTTTTTTTAGAGCCTGGCAGCAGTCAAGTCACTGGCAGTATTGAAGCAAATTACACAGTCAACACACACACACATACACCCACCCACATGGACGGCTAAAGCCAATATAAAGTGGCTCTGCTCCAATCCTAAGACAACTTAGGCCTCCTACACTTCCTTTCTCTATTTAGCCAAGGCTTAATCCAAGTTCTGCAAGCTAGTTTTGTAGGGAAGTGTTTACTGTGCTGTGCGTAATCAAGGTAGGAATCACTGCCTAATCAAAGCAGATAGGTCAAAAAGTAGCTTTTGCAAATATATTTTTAGGTGTACCTTCTAGGGGTGTAAATCTCTGACTTCATAACAATGTAAATATACATTTTAAGCATAATGAAATCTGAAAATTCACCATGGAACGATTCTGAATGATTTTAAAAATACAGAAAACATACAAATACAAATGTGACTGGAAGAGGCTGTTATCTGAGATTTTTCATGTCAACACAGTACTATAAAAAGTCAGAGACCACCCTTCACTTCCAGTCAAAACGGCCAGTAAGAACATGTTATTCATTTTTCATCGTCAAGAAAAAAAACAGAACATTTTCACACCTCCAAAGTTCAGTCTTAAAACTTGGTTGTATTTTCTGCTTCTCACAATCCAAGTAATCCCAAACACATTCAGCGATGCTGAGGTCTGGACTCTGGGGTGGTCAGTCTATTGTTTTGAGAACACCAGAAGAGAAAACCTTCCTTTTTGTCTATGCTTTTCTCAGTAAGGACTTCTTGACAGCTGCACATCCTTTCAGACTCACAGCATTGAGAAACACCAGCGGATTTCTTCAGATCTGAAGTAAGAGTGGAGTGACAGCTTTAAGTGCTGATAAGAGCTGTTAATCTGACAGAGACATTTTTACACCCCTAGTACACTCTAAGCGGACTTTGGGTGGTTTCAGTGAATTGGAACGAGGCCTAAAATCAGCCTGCCTCAGATGATCACTAGATCCCTCCACGTGGAGCTTCACAGAGACCTTCATTGTACCCTCTTCATTATGCCGAACTCTTCACTGGGAGACATAATGCATCTAAATGCATGCACATTTCAGGTAAGGGGTCCAAACACCTTTGAGGAAACACGTACAGATCTGATCACATGTAAAGCTGACCAGAAAAAGACAAGATTATCAGGTAAGAGTGAGCCAAAACAAGGATATTAGTGCCATTTAATGCTAAGTGTTCCTTTAGTGCCTAGGCACAGGTGAACTGTAGAGGTAGATGTAGAACAGTGTTTCCAGATTGAACCCGTCAACTGAAGCGTTCCTGCAAACTGCTACTGAATGAGCTCATGCCACCTCAGAGGGCATTCATCTGGGCATTCAGACTGGCATTCTTTTTCACTGGGTTCTTCTGCTTGCTTGCTGCACTCCTGCTGAATACAGGAATAGAACATCTATATTTGTGCTATACTGTTACATGTTGCACTATATACAGTAACTACACTAGTTTTAATGCACAGACAATACAGACTACTTTCTGGTCTCAACATGGAGCTTAAAATGTCCTCCAGAAAAAGAGCCTAAGTAGGCCAATTGTGTTGCACTTAACCATTTCCTTAATTAGCGTGTGTACGTGCCTCCTTGAACTTACCACCAGGCTCTATGTCAAAGTTTTGCAGCAAACAGAGGGCAGGCTGGGGTCTTAGGATCTGACAGAAGGTATTTCAAGTAGTGTGCTTTGGACTGTGACATAAAAGGCTTGCATGAACTGGCAAACTGGAAAACTGAACAAGACACTACATGGTCAAATATATTCTTAAGGTACATTTACACTATTGGCATGGACTAGGGATGCACTGATATGGGAATTATCTGATATTGTTCATCTGCATATAGTACTGTGGAAAAGTCAGAGACCACCCTTTCATTTCTGGCCATAACAAGTTTTCAGGAAAAAAAAAAGATTTTATATTTAACAAAAAATTGCACAGACGTCTCAACAACTAAATATAATATCAACTTTTTCAGTATTTATGTGTCCCCTCTTTGCCTCTATTACAGTTTCCATTCTTTTCAGGAGACTCGCTTTCAGTTTTTCAAAGAAATCTGCAGAGATATTTTTCCACACCTCCAAAGCTCAGTCGTAGAAGTTGGTTGTATTTACTGCTTCTCATGATCCAAGTAATCCCACATTCAGTGGTGTTGAGGTCTGGACTCTGGGGTGGTCAGTCCATTGTACTGAAAACACCAGCCGGTTCTTTGTCTTCTTTTTTCCTGTTCTCAGTAACAGCTTCTTGACAGCTACACATCCTTTCAGACTCAAAGCGTAGAGATGTCTTCTCACAGTGCACATTACGCAAGTGGATTATCTTTTATTTAATCTCCTCAGAAATATCTCCTGAAACATGAAGCACTTGTAATTAATGTCCAGTTTGACAGGAAATTAAATAAATGAAGGGTGGTCTCTGAGTTATAGATCTTATAGCCTATAGATAAACATTTATAAAAACGTAGAAAGTGGGACTATGTCTAGCTGGACATTGTGGAGAAATATAAACATTTTTTTACAAATAAAATAAAAAAAAGACATTTTAGGTCAGCAGCCCAGTGTGGCCTAAACATTCTGCTCTTACAGAACACAACAAATATGTATTAAATATAAATATACATTTAAAACCGAAACATCCACCCAATGTTGATAATGTTTTTTAAGCAATTATCTGCCAACACTGATCTGAATCCGATATCGTTGTGCATCCCTAGTAAATACCAAAAATAAGCATTACGGAATATGCTGATATCCCCCAAACCAACCAACACCCTTAAGCATGTATTGCTTTAATCCCTTTACTCACAATCACTGCTTTGCCTCAGGAAAACACCCTTTCTACCATTCATGTTTACACAAGTGGAGAGAACGTTTTCGACTGGCCCTTTCTTCGGCCAGTATTGTTAAGCCTTCTGCAAGGCAATGTGGTTATCTGGTTAAGTAATGATGAAATACAGCCCGGGTGTTAGCCAATAGTGAAGCTGCAATTTCGTAACCATCAAGAGGAGGCGAGACCTTCTAGCCGATTCTATGGTTTTGCCAGACAGTAACAGAAGATAAATAGTGAGGGAACACCCAATGACAATATAGCATTCACAACTGAACAAAATGAATGTTAAATCGTGAATAAGGATCACAGTAATGTGACTTAGAGCTGCACAATATATCATTTATGATCAGTATTTTGTGATACTGAATCTTTCTGATGAATGGGGTCATTCATGTTTTCCAATGAAGTTGACCATTTTGGTCAAAATAAAGCAGGCCAATCTATGATCATGCCACATCGACTGCTATTGCAATGTGTAGCAATATAATCACAATATGGTATTTTGTCCATATCATGCAGCCCTAATGAAAGGTACTAGCTAAGTCCCATTAGCTAAAGTTGACAACAAATATATGTGAAGACACATTTATATTTCATGCCTGTGGAATTTTCCCATAATCATCTCTTTTATGCTTAATCTTCCTTTCACATAATAGCAAAGACAGTAGTGAGAACAGTAAGACTACATGATGACTATAATAAATAGAGTGTAAATGTAAAAAAAAGTAAATGTAACAAATACGCTGTTCAGACAAAAAACCCCAGTACATCACGGTTGCCAAGCAACAGTTCTGTTGTCGAATTGACCGACCAGCCCGAAGCATCCTGACAGGGTTGATAGCGACCTGTTTGTCTCAGAGGTGGAAACAGTCATGGAACCCTTACAAACCGATGAGGTTATCGAATTATGCCAGGATTTTCTTCTGATTAGTGAATGAGAGGTAATAATTGGAGTATGACGATAAAAGCAGGACCTGAATGAAAAGCAAGTCCTTTTTCAGTCGTGACAACGGAAATGAGACCTTTGAAGAGTCGGCTGGCTGCGCAATCCTGCTGATGTTTTCGGTTTTTCTGATGAAGTGCGTTTTCCTCTCGCTCGCCCTTCGCCTCGGAGGTCCTCAGGATCGACTGCGGTCTTCGTGAGTTCCCACCAAAATCCTGCTGTACAGTTTCTGTTGCTCTTCTTTGAAGGTTTCTTTCACTTTGCTCCGTTTTAAACCACCGTCCCTGAAAAAACAGAAGAAACACAAACCAAATACATTTCCTCTTTATAAATATTATAATTTGGCAAAAATCAGCCAAGATATATTTTGTAGTTTTGGAGCTATGAGGCTAATGTAGCTAACAAGTAATGGAGGCCAATCAGCATTACGCAAACAAGTTCACGCTGAGCAGAGACAATCTTTTCACATTTTTCTGTTCCAACCACACTCTCAGAAAAAAAAGGTAGTAAACTGTCACTGGGGGAGTACCCCTCTTGTCACTGGGGTGGTTCCCTCAACGGTACATCTCAGTACCTTAGGGACCATAACTGTACCATAATCCACTGAAATGATATTTCCTAAGCTGTACTGACTCCACACACCCCGTCTCTTCTCCAGGCTTTTATTTTACTGTTCTGTTTGGAAACATTCGGTTAAGAAAAGGTACAAATACAAACTTTTCACCTGGAAAAACATATTTAAGGTTCACAACTGGACCTTAAAACCTCTGTTGTACCTCTGAGGGTACATTACCATTGTTTGTACCTTGATCAATGAAAGATGTACCTGCACAGAACCTTTATTTCTAACAGTGTAGGGATGTACATGCTTAAGCGGTTAACTGTTAACAGGCAAACAGAACAACTGATAGAACAATTGTTTGACCAGTGCTGGTTAAAAAAAAAGGTTAATTTACTTGTATTTTATTTCTGATAAACAACAGTTACTATTTGATATGCTGGTCTATTTTTTAAGCTTTGCTTTTTCAAGTATTTTTCAAGAATTCTACACATGAGGGAGCAACATGCAACTTGTTCTTCTAAATAGGCCCACTAAGCACAGCTAAAAAGAGCGCTAAGCACTTTTTGAGAGAACGACAGGACCAGTACATCAATATACCACATCAAAAGCAAACATCTGCAAGCGACAAGACAGATGACTAGTCTGTCCTCGTTCTCTGAGAGAAACTGTCTTGTACAAAAATCCCACATGGGCGTGTACAGTTATAGACAAAGGTGTGGTGGACCCCAACACCAAGCCTAAGCTAGCCCCAGTCATGGCAGTTAATTTGGCCTAGTAATCTGTGGCCCATCATTACATATTCCAGTCAGATATGACCAAATACTTTTTAGTTTTTGGTCACACCATGATCATAGATGTCAGCCCCTCAGTGCAAACTAAATCAGGTTCTACTGTAGGTTATGTTTAATACAGTTTTGGGCTGTTTACTTCATATATACGCTGATTTCTGGCTCCACCTATCAGCACTACGTTCCACTGAACACTTTTTAATATCTCAGTGAATTAAAACAGAATCGTGTGTGTATGGAAAGTATTTTACAATGTCTCGTCTCGTTCAGATTCCAGAACCGGAACTAAACAATCTTTATCTGATATTTTGATGAGTCACGGTCTTGATTTTAGTCTTGCTGGTTAACGATTAACTGCTGACTAATGGCGGTTGGTTACTGTCGGTTTCCAGCCGAAAGAATTTGCCAAAATTTGCATCCCTATTTTCAACCCCAACACAGGTTAGGACAAAATGAGATCAAGTTAAATTCCATATTTTTCACATAGGCTGTATGTGGACCTAATATAATAAAATAGTTGGTCTGAAATAAAATCATATGAGATGTGATGGTGTTCCAAAAACATTTGGGGAGATCAGAGAAAAGACAAATAATAGAAGTAATAAAAGTAATGTTATTAACTAGTAATAAAGATTTAGAATTACAGTTCTGATCTGGAAAAGTGAGTCTTTGTTCAAAGCAAAATACAGTTTATTTATGGTTTCAACTGATTTTTTTTTATTTGACTTGATATTGATTTTTTCTGACACATTTTCATTTCATTTCATTTTTATTTTAATTAATTTTTTCACATAAATTTTTAAGATGACCACAATTTTAACCTAACCATAATTTTCCCCCCACAGTCGTTCACTATCACATATCACATTTACGTTGAAACAGAACGTTTTCATCTGTTTGGTTTGAGGCAAATTTATGTAAACAAAATAAAGCATATAACACACTTGTTGAGGCGTTTGTTGTTTTTTGCTATTTTTTAGGTTTTTATTTAAGTTCAAGCTGTTTCTGTTTGTCAGTTGGGAGCTAATGAGTATCGACAGCTAGGAAGCACAATAACTAATCAGCCAATTTGGCCACTTTAGACTTTAAAAAGCTAAAAGCTATATATAATGAACAAAAAGGACAATTAAACTGTTTATCAGTATAATTTATATTGTTTATACATTTCACATAATCATCTGATAACATTTCAGAAATGGCCTAGTCATGTGTGATCTTGCACTGTATTACATACAGTTACACAAATATTATACAATTACACTATTATTATTTCATACAGTTATCTATAAAAATGGACACAAGTACAAACAAAATTGAGGCATCCAGATGACTGGCTTACAACACTCTTTAGTTACGCTTTAGCTGCTCAGTTTTATTTACAAATATAACGTGATGTTACTTAAGTAGTTGAGAAGGTTTTATGTGTTATGGTTTAGGCCAGAAACACACTAGACGCAAGAACGCCAATGAGTTTGTCCTCCTGTACAAACTAAACGTGTTCTTACGTTACTGTGGCAGTTAAAACACTCAGCACTCGAGGGAGCGCTAACGGACTAATCTGTGTGCCTGTAAACAAGACCTGCTGTTATTCAAACAGCCACAACAGTGCTGCTTATTTGTTCTACTGGAACGAAGATGCAGTGATTTATCATATGTTTATATAAGAGAACCAGTTCTGTGAGAGACTCAACAAACTGCTGGTCTGTCCTGACAGCTGATCGGACAAAAGCACGCTGGCAGTATGAAATTTGCAATTTACTACAGTCTTTTGCAGTCTTATAAAGTCTGAACACCCCGCAGTCAAATGACATATTTTCTGAAAAGTGAAAACAAGTTAACACGTCCTCTATATGGAACAACGCAAATTGTACAATTTCTGTTTATTTTATTTATTTACTGAGTTTAACACATTGGAAGAAATAAAAATAGGTGCCATAACTTTTGCACAGACCATATTTTATGTTTTGTTTTTTTCCCCCAATGTGTTAAATTCAGCGAATAAACAGTAAATGTGCATTAAAATGTGCAGAAGCGTGCAGAGGATGTGTTTTTTCATTTTCATTTGGAGAATAAATAACACGTAGTTTGACCAGGGGTGGCCAAACTTTTGCACACGACTGTATACTTGGTCTAAGGGGAAAACTGCAGAAATTTGTTTCCATGTTCTATGGAGAGGTTTGTCATAACATCATAAATATCTTTGTGGACGCTTCAGGACTTCAGTGAAGTCTCTGCGGCTGCCTGCTCTGTTCTGAGCGTCTCAAAGCCACAGACCTCAGGAGCGGATAAGCGTTTACTCACCACAGCAGGTCCACCAGGCCGCCCTGTCTGGCGATGGCCGCCTTCACCCTGTTAGCAAACTGCACAGCGTCCTCCCCTTCCTGTTACGACAGAAGCAGACGATGAGTTTCAAACATTTAAGACATTTACTGTGTAGGGTTTCGAGTGTTTAGGCTTGAGCGTGTTATTGTTAGAGCAGAGAAAGGGAGAGAACTTCCATCTGCTTTTTCGCAGTAATGTGAGGTGCTGGATGGAGAGCATCTGTCATCATCAAGTCTCTTCCTGTTATTCCCGCCGTAGTCAGGGTGACGGGAGTTCATACTCACTCACACACGGCTGTAACACCGTCTTTATTTTCCACTGAGCTAATATCACTACAGCAAAACATTGATGTTCCTACATTTAAACATAACCCCAACATTAACCTCACTAAGCAAAGGCTGCACTGGATATAAGAAATGATAAATATCTTCATTTTTGCAAAGACGCCACAGAAATGTGTCCTGCAACTTTCAAATATTCTATTAAACATCATCTAGAACATAACAGAGTTCTAGAGTTTGCTACGGCTCTGAACAGGTCACTAATTCTCACGTTTTCTTTTATTCTTGGTAAGGACACTAACTAGATAGCAACCCAGAGAACGAGTCCATTTATTTGGACTTCACTGGGCAATTAAAGCCCATACTGTCACTTCAAGTTAGAGCTTTAAAACAGTTAGGATTCAAGGCTCTGTCTTTATCTTTCGCCAAAGTATTGTGGGTTTTTTCACTTCAATGTGAAAGGTCAATTATTTCACAGTAGCAGCTGCGTGCTACTGGTGACTATCTAGAACTAAGCTTGATAAACAAAAGCTTGTTTCCCATCAGACTGAAAAAAACAGCGCACAGAACTGAGTGGTTTCATGAAAGTGGTAAAAGTATTTGTTATTCGAATGGCATTATGGTTTTCGAATGTTTTAATTATCAGATTAATCTCATTTTATCCAACAGTCATTGCAGTCCTAGTGCACAGCGCCACAACTGTCACGTTTTCCTATCTTTTTGGGGACATTACGAGGACATTTGAACTTTATGAATAAAGTAAAAGCATGTAGATCCTAGGCCTGGACTACAAAATCATAACAAAAATAAAACCAAACAACATTTTGTGATGTTAATTTGAGGGTTTTTTTTTATTGCCAATAAAATAATTATGCTGTTCAGCTCTGCAATTCAATATTAGCAGCAAAGGCTTTAACGTTAAATAAGTGCCATTTCAGTACACCACTTCAGGTGGTGATGTGACGCAACCCCTTCACTCAGTTAGCTAGCTACTGTCATGTGTATTTATTAGTGGTTTCAAAGTAAATGTGATAATAATGCGTTTTAATGTTAGAAATTATTGAGTTTATTATTAGTTTGACCCATCTAGTTGCAGCCTGAAGTTCAGCTGTTTGCAAGCCGTCGCTATGACTTCGTTGCTGTAACCCTCGCATTCAAAGCAGCTTTGATTGACCGCTCTCTTGATAAAAAGTTCTTTCCAGCAACTGTAATGCTGTGAATCTGTTCATCCAAGAATGTTAAATCTGAAGTATAATTTACAAGCCAAACATACTGCTGATGCCGGCAATATCAGTAATCTCAGTAACTACTAAGACTACTCTGGACCGAGCTCACGGGAGAACTATGGAGAACACAACAAGCTGTAAACTAACAAAAGCAACAGCAAAGTGGAAAACTACAGTTCCCTCGAAACAAGACGTACCAGTTTGAGAGTGAGAGATTACAGACGCGGAGGACTGCAACATGCAGCCACTGCTGCTCTCACTGGACCAAAAATCTCTCTTTATGGTCAAATTAGAGTGAATATGAAAAATGTGATTAATCGTGATTAGCTACACAACCTAATGCCATTATAATTGTTAATGATTATTTTAAAAGTTTAACAGCCCTAACATTTATGCATTTCATATGAGTATATCACACCACCATAAACACAAGCATTTTTTGTTCAGGATTTAAAATACTATTCAGACTTTAATTTAGCATTAGCATGATTATTGATAATTATTGCTCTTGAATAATATGGAAAACATATTACACTAAGATTTATGACCATATCTCCCAGCCCTAAGAGACAAACACAAAGCAAAACTAGTGACCCTTGGTTGATTATTCCAACACTGGCAACACAAACACATTTATGTGAGTCGCTCAACAAAGAACTCATTTGTGCACTTCAATCATTTACACATCGTAGTTAAGACTGAAGGCCGGAGGTGTGTTTTCCATTAGATCTTTGTGGCATTCAAAACATGAAACCCTACCACGACACAGTGATTTGTCTGTCCAGCCACTTTGTTTGTTTTCCTTGAGCGCTGGACGCTGATCTGAAGATGCATGGCTAATAGGAGACACATTTGCATGTGTGCATGCAAAGCTGGACCTCCGTTTCCAATCTGTTCTAGCAGAGGAAGGGAGACCAACGCCAAGGCCCACTCGGACGAGATTTGTAAATGATTTGAGTGGCAAAAGCACTGATGGAAAGAATGGGTTGGTCATGCAAGTCATTTGAGAATGCGAGCCCTATACAGTCCCTTAAGGCTTAAGGACTTCAAAGGGAATTTCACCCATTTTTCTAAAGGTGTGCATGATTCAAATGTAAACAAGATGAAAGTTAACAAAAGTCATTCAGGGTGGAATTCCCCTGCTACTGTACTGTTAAAGTTAACGGACTTTTATTCTGAACACAGTTATTAAACATTACAGTTAAATAAAGACGCTTCTTTGGGAAGTGAGTACATTAAAAAGAAAAGAGAGGAAACCAAAGTCGAAACCGAATCATCACATTAAAATCGAAAGGCAAGTCAAATCGTATTCCTAGTGTGCGGTGCTCACCTGTCGGTTCATTGGGGGCAGGTACCACACACTGCACACGATGGCCCAACTGCTCATCATGTGGAGGAGGTAATTCACCATGCCGAACTTACTGCTGTTCCAGAAAGCATCTCCAAAGCGAGGGTCATACTACACACACAGACAGACACACAGCACATATCAACAACAGAATCTATGTAACACGATTCTAGTCTTACGCAAGCCGCAAGTTGCCCAACATTAACACATCATTGCACAAAACTGACACTGACAGAAAATGGCAGCGTGTTGTAGTTACTGTCCTATATACGCAGTTTAGAGCCAGTAATTTGTGATAGACTGCAAATATAATGAAAGGCAGTAATGTCAAACTCAAACTGGGGCAGTTTAGTGGGGGGTGGGGGGTAGTGGCACTAGCAAAGCAGTCTTGAAAAAATGCAGAAAAATATATGTTATGCATTTGAAGTGCATAACATATTCATGCAGTTAAGTACATCTTAACTGTACCTTTAGCATGTAAAAGCACTTAATCAATCCTTCTTTCACCACATTATTAGTAGTAGCAACAGCAGCAGTAGTGATAGTATAAATACACAGTGTTTAATAAATGTTTTAGTGTTACTGTGTTGTTTAGTGTTAGTTAAACTCAAGGAAGCGTACATTTGAACAGTAGAATAATAAGAGACTCTTACTGTAATAGCACTCACATCCTTCCGAATGTGAGTAAAATTGTGAGTAAAGTGTTGAATAAAGTGATAAATTCTGCCTTTTCAGTAATTAGTCTGATAATTGCATTCATTTCTGTACTGTGACATGCTGTATCTATGGCTACCGAATGAATTAAGTTAGTTACAGCTAATTTACACTCGGTGTGTCGTGTTCATGCTGCGTCAGGTTTCTGCTTGAATGGTTCCCTCATGCATACGGTGCTCTGTTTCTGCTTTTAACATCATTAGATCAGTCTAAACTGATTTTATATAGCTTTTTATGGGTAACCTGCCACAGTGGCTGGTGTCTGGCGTGTGAAGCAAATGTACCCATCGGATGTAAACATTTAACTTTACAGGAGAAGGAAAAACAGACCTTACTTTTAATGTAAGTCAGTGGAACCAGACATTTTTCCAAGTATTTTTGGGCTGTTTGTTTCAGTCCATTCATCTTGAAATTTACACAGAATATGAAGGACAGTAGGTATTTTCAAATTATGTCAGAAACAGAAAAATGACAAAAATGGAGATACAAGGTTTTGGTCCGACAGCAATGATTTATTTATATATATATATATATATATATATATATATATATATATATATATATATATATATATATATATAAAAACATGGTTCTTCAAGGGTTCTTTCATAAAGAAAATGAAGCCTTTGTATCATTAAAGTGTTCTTAAGATTGATGAAAAATGTGCTGACGTTTCTACTTAGAACCTTTTTTTAAAAAGGTGTCCAGCGGCTTATTTTTCAAAAAAGGAAAAAAAAATGAAAAGTATTTAGAAAGTAAAGCATTTTTAAAACAGCATTGTCTTCACTGACAACATGTAAGTGCTAATTTGAGTGACGACAGCTTTATATTCGTGATATCTGTGTAGAATGACTTGTTTTCTTTAATGAAATGAAATACTTAGGAACATTTTACCAAAAGCAGCGTTCATGAAGTTACAAAAGCCTTTCACAACAACTGACATAAACCTATACAGACATTTATGAATGCTTATTCCGACAAGCAACAGTTGTCATAACACAGGTAAAATTCTGAAATAACATTACAGCCTTTATTACAACTTGCTTTTAAATGTTTATGTAGCTTTGTGTCAAGTTGTCATTAAAGGCTTATGTAGGTGTTGTGTAGCCTCACAAATGCTGCCCATCAATGAAGCATTACCCAATATTTTTCACATAACTGACATCACAAAGAAAAAAAAGGACCTGTTTAAAATGACCAGAGGGGTCAACCCTTCGTCTCGTCAAAAGGCTGTTCCTAAATTGGTCAGAAACCCAGCCCTGTTTGGTCCAAGAGTTACTTATAAAGCTAAAATCCCAAACCCTAACCTGTCCTGGACCAGAGTAGGTGTGTGCAATATGTTGCAGTGGTGAAAAGTTGCCATGGTAGCCTGGCAAAAAAATGTATCCATCATCGAGAGACCGCAAATCCAGTGATAGACTGAAACTGAGCTCAAAGTTAGCTGGAAATCCTGCTTCAGAACAAATCCCAAGCATAACCTGCCCACATCTACAGGGACACTTTCATCTTTAAATGTTAAAGAATAGAACAGCAATTCAGAATTCACAGCGAAATCACTCTGCTAAACAGACACAAACCTTGATGGCCACAGGGTAGATGGTGGAGGCAATTTCAAAGCTTCCCTTCTTAAACATCATGACAGATGTGTTGTTGATGCAGGTACCTAGAAATAAATCCAACAAACAAACAAACATAAATGCCCTAATCTAATCTTAAAATGCATCTAAAACACTCAGGAATTTTGCAGTGACTCACTGTTTTGTAGTAACCAAGCCAGGTAACAGTACTAAAAATGGCAAAAGACCAAGAGCTCACCCTCAGGAAAGATGAGGATCGGCAGTTTGCTTTTGTCCTCTACATGATCGCTCAGTCTGAAACGATATTGTATTGATTATAAAAAGCATTAGTCATCTATAATCTGAAACTCGTAGAGGTCATGATTATTGCAGCTGTACAAAAGTACTGTAGTTTTATATTAACTGTTTCTCACTCACAGCTCACCGAATGCAGACAAATGCCTGGATTCTAAATTGACAACATCTACTGCATTTGCGTTTGTAAGTCAATAAGGAGATATTTTATTATGATTTTAATCTGACAAAAATGAATTCCTAGAGCTGGGCGATATGGCAAAAATAAAACATCACAATACTTGCAGACAAATACACAATATATATCAAATATTTAGTTTTTCTGAGGTTTGATAAGTTGAAAAGCACAAAAAAGGAAAAAACAGAAGTGCAACATTTTAAAAAATAGTCAAAAACTATGACCACATTGATTTTTATTCAAAGTTACATACTACACTAAAACCAGTAACACAGGTCTAATTATGCTCTCTTTGTAAAGCAATTGGTCAGTGTTTTTTAAGTAGTGACGAAATCCACAATTTGCTCAGAAAAGCACATTACATAAATTATCACAGTAATAATAAATATCATTACACTGCACAACTCTAGTGCAGAATTGTTGTGGAAAGAAAAACAACAATTAACAGTTTTGCCAATTTTTTGTCGTTATTTAACATGAACAAAAACAAGGAGTTCAAAACAGAATAGTTCAAAACAGAATTTGAATCTAACGCAATTAATTATATAACTAATAAAGCAATTAATGATTTTATTATTTCTCTGGTATAAAAAAATTATAAAAATTTAAAAGTTATATGGTGGCAGTTGTACTGCAGTGTTACCTTTTGGCCACCAGATGGCGATCTTTGACTTCAGAGCGTTCGAACCAGATATGTGGACATGCTTTTACCATTGACCTCTGGATAACCCCCATCAGACCTCCATGGATCTGTCCGACCTAACACACACACACACACCCACACTAGTATTGTATTACTACACATGTTGGTTTGCATTGACTCAAATGATGCCGTACCAAAACAAAACAGCCACTGCCCGAGCCTAAACTACTAAGGACAACTGTTTTTTATTTTTATTTTTTTTATTTATTTATTTTATTTATTTTAAAGAAAAACAGGAACATGCATAGTACTGGACGCACTTATACACATACACACCCACTTGATAGCTCAATCCTCACAACTGTTTAAACCACACACACACACACACGCATGCACACACACATACTCTTACCATTGCATAGCAGCCGTCACTGGCTAGTATGATGACATCGATGGGAGACGTGTGGTTGGCAACACAGATTCCTCCATTCTTAGGCTTGTTTTCACTGTGACACAAAACACAAGAAACAAATAAAGATTCTCTTTATTTGACACTTTTCAAAGCACCTTCCTTTAAAGCAAAAATCAGAAACCACGTTTTTATCTATTCCATTTCCAGTCAAAATGACAATTACATACAGCAGAGTCAGGAAAAAAGCAGAAAACATACATTTAACAGAAAATTACACAGACGTCTCAACTAAATATAATATTAATTTCGCAGCATTTTGTGTGTTCACACAGCTTCCATTCTTTTCAGGAAACTCACTTTCAGTTTTTAATGAAATCTGCAGGGTAATTTTTCCACACCTCCAAAGTTCAGTCTTAGAAGTTTGTTGCATTTTCTGCTTCTCACAATCCAAGAAATCCCAATTACAAAGTTAGACTCTAAGTGCCATTCCTGGGTGCTAGTGCACATTTTCTTCCTTTTGTATCTATTTCTTTTTCTCATTAGGGCTCTGTAACATCTACACATCCTTTCAGACTCTTGGTTTGTCTTCTCACAGTGGAAGGATGGACAGAAACACCTGGGGATGGTTTCAGATCTGAAGCAGGAGTGGAGCTTGACTTTCCTCTCTATCAAACATGAAAGCTTTAAGTGCTGTTTATCTGATGGGGACAGTTTTGGTGGTCTACCAGTCTTGCATGGTTGTTAGCAGTCTTTTAATATTAAAAAACTCCTTTCCCCCCCACTTGCTTTCCACCAATTGTCTACCTCCTTAAGCAAGTGCATTATCTTATATTTAATCTTCTCAGAAATATCTCCTTTAGCCATTTTACATGGGAAAACATCTAAAATGAGAAACAGATTTGTAAGGTTACTACTTAACAACTCAATGTGGCTTGAGGCGAGGGTGTGATTACTTCGGCATGTATTCTGCATGATGCTAATTGGTGGCATGTAAGCTTCCGTTACTTATTAACTACATTAGCCTCAAAGCACCAGAGCAAAACTAAAACAGCAAACGTCAGACACCAAACATGTGCTTTAAGATACGGAAAACTGTGTAAATTAGACTTTTCTGCTGAACTGCGGCTTTAAAATGAAAACAATTATGCGTGTCTAGACGTGGTCAGCGTTTCTCTGACGGTCTGTACTTCTGGGAAAACGGCGCCTACGAATCTGATGACGTTAAGTCCAAAAGGGTCCACAACGCACCAGACAGAGTTCAGCAGATAGAGAAAAGAGAAACAGAGAGGAGGAACAATAGAGAAAGAGAGTGAAACAGCAAAGCCAATGCCAGAACTGACAACAACGATAAGAAGGTGGTGCAAAAGAAGGGAAAATGATGTAGATGAAACATCAGAGAAGATAAAGAGAAAGAGAGAGAGACTGTCATAGTAGTGCTTAACCTTCAGGAAGGGAAACGGATACAGGGGCCTGAACACCAGAAGCATGAAGCATGTTATTCATCACAGCACAGCTAGTTCCTAGCAAGACCAGGCCTGCACCGAGCACAATGAGCACATACACAAACACTGTCCTGGAGGTAAAAATCCCTTGAGGCCCCTCCGCCTCCCATCTGACTTCATAAACACCCTATTCAAGCTCTGCCTCGTGGCCTAAAGCATCACGACTTAGCAGCAGTTCAGTGTTGTACGCTAAAGGAGCATAGCTGATCCCACATGTCATGGGATAACAAACCATGTTCGTAAGCACAAGTGCTTAATGCTGCCATACTTCATTGATCAGCACAGACTCCAACGATGTTCTAAGTCAGTGGTTCCTCATAATATTTTAACAATGGGCACAATCTCAATCTTAGTTTGACATTGTAACAGGAGAAAACCCCTTCTGGTGCTTTACAGAACCCTATTTCAAAAAGGGCCTATACAGAACCAAATACAACACATTCTCCACCAATCTGAAGAAACATTTCACCATACAAAGAACCTTTGACTGTTCACGGTTCTATACAGAACTACTGTCATTACTGAAGATCCCTCGAAGAACCATCTTTTTTAAGAGTGTACCAAAATGTAATTGATTTTCCATGAACACTTGTTTACATGACCAAACTGCTGTATCCTGAATAGGTGGGCTTATATAAATGTGCTCGTGTTGTGAGATCACAACCATGGTGAGTCGAGAATAAACTATTTATTGTAGCTCAGTTTCAAAATATGGATTCTATAGATTCAGAGTGATCAGTACATTCAAATACACTGCAAATTTTAGTTAAATAACAGATTGTTCTTTGTAATATTGACAGATTTTTGATATTTCTAAATTATATATACATCTCCTGGTGTGCCAAAGCACTATGACCATTTACAGATTGATTCTCTCATATACACGGCACATGTTCTTGTATTCGACATGATGGACATGAGAGAAACAGTGTGAAGACCTCAGAGACTTTGACAAGGGCCAAATCGTTATGGCCAGATTTTTGGGTCAGAGAATCTCAGGCATGGCAAGACGTGTGGGGTTCTCCTGGTCAGCAGTGGTGAGTACCTATTGACAGTGGTCCAAGAAAGGACAAACCATGAACCGCAAGAGATTGTTAGGTGCCCAAGGCTCATCGATGCTCGAGGCCAACGAGGGCTATCCGGTTTGGTCTGAACCGACAGAAGGGTTAGTGTGGCACAAGTGACAGAAATCTTTGGGAGGAACGTGTCACAATCAGTGCAGTGCACCCTTCTTCGTGTGGAGCTGTGTAGCTGAAGAACAGTCAAGCCCATGCTAACCCCTCTCCACTGTTGACTATACTGGGTACTCAAGCATCAGAAATGGACAGTGGAGCGATGGAAGGTCACCTGGTCCTGTTTATTTTTTTTAAATCACATGGATGGCTGGACATGTGCACAATTTACCTGGCGACAAGACAAGCCAGGGAAGGGAGCGTGATGCTCTGGGCAATGTTCTGCTAAGAATCCCTGGATGCCACTTACCTCAACATTGTTGCAGACCTTTATGGCAATGGTATTCCCCAATGCCAGTGGCCTCTTTCAGCAAGATAATGTGCCTTGCCCCACTGCACACATTGTTTGGGAATGGTTTGAGGAACATGACAAAGAGTTCAAGGTGTTGCCTTGTTCTTAAAATTCCCCAGATCTCCATCTGATCAAGCATCTGTGGGACGTGCTAGAACAAAAAGTCCAATCCATGGCAGCTCCATCTGACAAATTACAGGACTTAAAGGAGCTGTTTCTAATGTCTTGGTGCCAGATACCTTCAAGGCACCTTCAGAGGTCTTGTAGAGTATATGCCTCAGTGTGTCCGAACTGTTTTGGTGGCACAAGAAGGACCAAGAACATAGTAGATCATAATGTTTTGGCTCATCTGTGTACCTATGAATAAAAAAATAATATATATATATATATATATACACACACACACACACATACACCACAGCTCAGGGGCATTCCTTTCATTCCTTTCATGAGAGATAAGCCGCTGCTGATTTCATCCACCCTTCAGATCAGTTTAGCTGGACACAGGTTAAGTACTTTGTTTGGCTGAATTATTTGTGTCATTAGTAGTAGTGGTAGAACGGATTTATAAATCAATAAAAAGAGAAGTTATATTTCACTGCTTTTTCATTCTGTGGTGCGCTGATGTGTTTTCTGGCTGCTGAGCAGACAAGGTCAATACTTAAGGCACCACCTAACAATTACTTACTCATGAGAGACAGCATAAAGCAGCAAAAATCCATAATACATAAAAAGCCTGACATTTAATTCAAATCAATAAAAGTAGTAGTTTAAAAGGCATTATGGAATTAGTTTAACTTAAAGTCACTGTCAGTGATAAAAAAAAAATAAAAAAAAAACACAGTTAACAAATATTTACTGCTGATATATGTATCAAAATACACTAAACATCTAAATGTATCCAGATACCACTTCCAAAAAGAGAATACAGCTACTCTAAGGTGTACCCAACACTGACGCAGACACAGACGTTCAACTACAGCTTGTATGATCTCCATAGCACAGCATTGCTAACAAATTGGGATGTTCTGGGGCAGCCGTATGTGCCAGTAATGCCAAGCATCAGTTAGAGGGGTATAAAGCCCCCCAGCATTGGGCTGTGGAGCAGTGGAACTATGTTTTCTGAAGTGATGGAGGTTCATCCAATAGCTTTGCAATGAGCTTTAATGTCGTTTGCGATCCAGAACTAATAACCCAACATCATCACCCGACCCCACTAATGCTCTTGTTGGCGAATGCAATCAGATTCTCACTGCAATATTCTAGAGTAAAGCCTTCCTAGAGGAGCAGAGGCTGTTACTGCTGCAAACTGTTATCTATAACCTTTAGGGTATATAGCGTATGCGCAGACACAGGCTGATTCTAGCCTTCGAAAGCCTCTGTGCAAGTTAATCTAGAGTTGGGGACCCAAGTTGCACTCTAATCACATGCCACCACAGCTTACTATATCGTTTTATATTGGATCACATTTCCAAGGTTCGCAAGTTTGCAGGCTTAAAGTTCACCTAAATTAACTTGCTGTGAAGCTAAATTAACCACTACCGGGAAAGAATTGTGACCGTGGCTTAACAATACAGGTGATGTGACAAATCTGTTCTTGAGACGTTTGATCCAACTTTAAAATACTGGGGCAACACAGTGGGAAAAAAAGTAGTTCCGGTTACTTTTGCTTTCCCTAAAGCAGAGGTCAGCAACATGGGCTCGGAGCCTCATGTGTCTCTTTTACTGCCCTGTTGTGGCTCCATGGCAGATTTTGATTTGTAGGTAAAAATAAAATAATCCTCCTTCACAGTAAAATAAAGCTCTGCTGATCGTTCAACACAGTTTTAACAATAAAGGGTCTTAAATGCTGGAGTTAATGTGGCCTAATACACTAATACACCTTTTACCCTGAAGTGTGCAGACTGTTGATCACCATAGCAATCCAGACAACAGTCTCACCTAGCTAGTAGCTAACGAAACAGCAAAGAGAAAGATTTAAGACGAACATCCATAATTTGGAGACGAATGGACTTATTTGCATTTATAAGCACTTTACATTTACGTTTAATCTGCAACAAGAAAATGTCGAACACTAAAGTCACAAAGCTTAAGTCAGAATTCAGCTTCTCATTTGCCAGCTTCTTGTTCAAATTCTCCTATTTCACCTTAAATGGTGCCTGAGGCAGCTGCACCATTTAAAGTGGAACGAGAAAATTCGAACTAGAAGCTGACAAACGCCAAGCTGACTTCAGCCTTGTAAAAAGTTGAGCATTGAAAGAAATTTTACAAGAAAGTTTCCTGCCGGAGATGTGGGAAAAGCGGATATAGCTGAGCTAAAGCTTAAAGCAGAGCAAAGAAAGTCTGTGTTTTCGTTGATATTTTATTTTTTAGCCTATATAGAACAGTAGCACATACTGAAACATATTAACAGCCAAGATGGTACAATGGACATACAATGTTGTGGCTCCGAAGGTGGTTTGATTTTTGTTGAAAGGACGAAATGGCTCTTCTTACCATCTGGGTTGTCGACCTCTGTCCTAAGCCTAAAGTTTTCTGGCATTCATGCTTGATCAGGTAAGAGCCTGTAAAACCCCACCTAAGCTAGTGATGAATTGCCACGAACTGTGCCCTCTGAAAACCAAAGCTCTGAAAAACTGTACAGATTTACAGCTTCATTTACAAATAACTGTTCTACAAATGTTTACTGACAGAGGTTCAGCAACTCTCCAGTAGCTTCAAATACGTTTCAAGTCAGCAGCATTTTGGTGCAGAGAAATACGTCAGAATCATTGTCTGTTGTAATCCATTGATGCTGCAGATGTAACAGTTAAAGATTAGGTTGAAAAACGCTGGAATGTTCCTTTAAGCACTCCCATTACTGGTATTTGACCTTTGATAAAATGGTATTTTATCTTAAAAAATGCAACTGCTTCTCAAATGCTGTTGTGACTCATTTGCCCACTGCCACATCAGTAAGCAGTTAGTCAGAGCTGACGTGGTTAATCAGGGGCTTAAAGTTAGGCAATTAGTTCACAGATCACAGATCTGACTGTCTGCAAGCAGCAAAATGAAGCAGTAATGTGCCAATTACATTCTAGCATGTATGACACGTCTGAGCTGAATAAATCCGGCTGTGCACACGAGAGATTATTTAAGATCAGTGAACGCTATGGTTGTGACTAAGATGTTACCTGCTTCATCTGTTACTGGCTAACATTTCAAGCACTAAAAGGCAATCAAGGTTTCTGCATGAATCAGTTGCTAACAAAGGCATTCAGAGCATTTTGATGCGAAATGATGCACTGAAGAGAAACTTACTGATTTGAATTTCTTTTCAGTGGTGCTGATACGAACCAGTCATCACTATATCTACAAAACAAATATAGCCATTTTATTGCTATCTAAAACAACCAGTAAACCTACACATCTTCTGAGGTTTTATATGTAACGTTGATGACAGTAAAATAGTGATAAATCAGAAGAAAAAGATTTCTTTGGGAACGCCCTGCAACGCCCTTACATCTTTTAAAAACTGCAATTCCACTTTAAGTCAGGTCACTAGAAGAGATAAGAATCATGTATCCTGTGTGGGTCTATGTGATCAGGCAAATTCAGGCTGCCCTCAAGCAAATAAAGTACGTTAGAGACTGTGCATGCAAGTGTTTGTCATGTTGGTAAGTTGAAGAGTGAGAGAGATTTCAGGCGCGCCTCAAATGTGAAGTTCCAAATGCTGGTGTTAAAAAGATCACCACGTCACCGTGAATAAGGTTAAAAAATGTGTTTTAGGGCAAAACTTTATCTTAAAACTATTATAAAACAATGTCTTAGGCATCAGGCAACATATTTGTAACTCTGGCGTCCGTGGTCTCCAAAAAGAATTTCAAATTTTGATTCATCTGACCACAGAACAGTTTCCAATTTGCCTCAGTCCATTTTAAATGACCTTTGGCCCAGAGAAGACTGTAGCGTTTCTGGATCGTGTTGATATATGGCTTCTTCTTTGCACGATACAGCTTTAACTTGCATTTGTGGATTGTACAGCGAACTGTGTTCACAGACTACGATTTCTGGAAGTGTTACTGAGCCCATGCAGTGATTTCCAGTAAAGAATCATGCCTGTTTTCAATGCAGTGGGCCCAAAGATCACAAGCATCCAATATTGACCGGTGGCCTTGTCCCTTGTGTACAGGGATTTCTCCAGATTCTCTGAATCTTTTGATGATATTATGTACCGTAGATAGTGGAATATTCAAAGTCTTCGCAATTTTACGTTGAACATTTTTCTGAAACTGTTTCACAATTTGTAGACGCAGTTTTTTGCAGATTGGTGAACCTCTGCCCATCTTTGCTTTGCTTTGCCCCCCAGTCATGTGAGTTAGTTGCAAATTGCTCCTCAAGCTGATTTTTATTAGTAGCACTTTACTTTTTTGAGATGCACTGCCGCTATCAAGTTCTAAATGAGTTATGTTTTTCATGAACGGGTAAAATGTCTCACTTTCAACATCTGGTTAAGTTCTACGTTCTGTTGTAAATAAAATATAAGTCTATGAGATTTGCCATTCATTGCATTCTGTTTTTATTTACATTTTACACTGCGTCCCAACTTTTTTTGGAATAGGGGTTGTAAAATGGTTCACTGTAGAGAAACTTACCAGACTTCACATTTCTTTATAAATGTGGTGATAGTAACCAGGGATCCCCATGTTTACGATGCATATATAGAATTGAGTTTTTCCACACCAAACTGCTCTAAATGACTCTGTTTAAATGTTAAACATTTAATTTTCCAGATATTATTAAAAACTGGTTTAAACCTTTAAGTCGGGTCATCAGAAAAGACAGAGTTGTGTATCCTGTATGGGTCTATGTGATCAGGCAGGTTCAGGCTGTCCTCAGGCAAATAAAGTATGTTAGAGACTGTGCATGTATGTGTTTGTCATGTTGCTAAGTTGAAAAGCAAGAAAGATTTCAGGTGCACCTACAATGTGAAGTTCCAAATGCTGCTGTCATTTTATATTGACAGTCATAGGAGTTAAACGATCACCACTGTTTGTGAGTTCATGAGTGTTTATGTGTCCTTACCTGTGATGATAAGTGATGATGGCAGTAAGGGCTCTCACACAAATGCGGTAACACATCAAATGCACTTTCTCACTGAGAAAATTCTTCAACCTACACATACACACACATACAAACATTTGTTTAACCTTCTGTTACACAGAGTGTCCCATCCGAGACTAAAGAGCTATTGGAGCCAGATTAGTTTTACATGGGGAGGCGCTGTAACTTGAGTGATTACTGAAGAGATGTGTGATTTTAATCCACTGGGAAAGTTTGTAGTTGTTACAAGTCTGCTAAGTAATTATTCGGGAGCAAATTACCCTCGATGAGTGGTCAAACCCAGAGGTCCCTCACAAATAGTAGTCCTGTCTGAATAATGTTACAACAAATCCTGCACTGAAAAAAAGTTGTTGAATTTACATGATTTAAATGTGTCAACACAAATGAAACGGTACATCAAATTAAGTATTTTAAATTAAGTACTTACACATAGTAATTATGTTGATATAACCGAGTGAATTCATGCTGAGCCAATGTACACATCTGAATACACGTAAGTTCAAAACAACCCTTAAGCGACCTCTTTTTCAGTGTAGTAATAGACATCAGCACCTGGGAGAAAAAGTTAACCTCTTAAATGGCGCTCCTGGCACAGTTCCTTTGTCCTCAATGCCAACACAGGACTACTGAAATCTAAAACATGTTTGGTGATGAGCTAAGCAGAAAGAGAATGAAATTAAATGTTAAAAGAAGGGTCCTCCCCCAACACTGGGTGGAATACTTTCCATTTTGGAAAAGAGAAACAATCATTAAGAGTTTGACCACCTCATTCAGCAGCTGGAATGCTCTGAGAGCTTTTACACATGGCTCACATATATACACAGCTTGGTTATCACCATGCCAACACTAGAGACAATAGTGATCGGTCAGTGAATTCACATTATAATCTGTGAAAGTTCGCAAAAATCAAACAGAGGGCAAATCAAATAATGTTGCCTTTTTGCGCTCAAATGTTAAACACATGCGTGATTTAATTTACTGTGGTCTAAATAAATTGCACTCCATGTGTAAAGGCTTTATCACTGAAGTAAATGTCTGGGCTTTGATGTTTCAATCCAGGCTATTTGAGGTAATTTTGGGAAATTACACAGATACGATCTCATACGAAGCAGCCAGGTGAATCTCTTGCATATTACATTAGGGGGACCCCCTCTAGTAAAATGAATCCAGCTCAAATAGGCCTTAAGATATTTTAATAAATAAAACAGAAAAAAAAGACTTTCAACTCAAGTTCCATGTCATCAAAAATCATGATTCTTACCTCCCATTGGGCAGAAATCCAATTATGGTGGTGAAGACAACCAATAGTGTCACCCCAGTGATGGCTAGCGTCAACCTGAAAATAACAGAAGCAGATATGCCATTAGCCTTTAGTGATCAAGCATTACGAATTACAGCACAACATCTAACACCACATTTTATGTACATTCAGGTTTGTCTGATTTTGACCTTGGCCTTTGACAACGTTTGTCTTGAACTCGAGTAAAGTCCTTTTACCCGTACGCGTCTGAACTGTGTTACACATAGTCCTATGTGTACAAGAATTACTTTTCCATAAAATCTTCCTCAACATTAGTATCATATTATTATAAGTTATAACAGTGTTATTCAGCTGAAAAAGTAAACATGTAGCTTTGTTCAGAATGAATGGGCTCCTAAAGATCTGTTGTTTGTGAATTTGTGAATTTAAGTCAAAATAAACTGTTTCTGTTTTGTTTATAGTCATGGCCCAATTACTCTGGGGGCAGATTTTAACGAGTTAAAGGGGACAGACAAAGTAGCCAGCAAGATATAAGACAGGGCTAAAAATAAGCTTCTCTTTATAGAGATAATTATTTTTGATTTAAACGTTTCAAATAAGTACCTATCATCACCGTCAAGATAGCTGCTTACGTGAACTCCTGCAAGCTCTAAAAATGACTCAACATTGTACTTGAGCACTGAGTGAACTCCTTCCTGCAAAGAGCTACCTTAAGATTCAATTAAGCACACACAATACCCAAGTGAAGAACATCTGATTAAAAAGAGCTCAATTATAAAGCTCTTCCCCCAGTGCTTCTATCACTACACACACACAAATGACTGGAGTGTATATTATAGAATGTGGGTTAAGGCCAGTGACCTGCCAGCTTCTAATCCTATTGAAGCCCCATATGGCTCTGAGGAGAGGCAGAATTAGCCTGGAGTTAAATGTGCTAAACTCAGACTAGCCTGTCACAGCGGGGTTACTGGAGGTTCCAGTGCAGGTAGCAGTTTCTCTCTCATGCTGACACAGGAGCAGCTGCCCTCAGCCACATCACAGCCTGAACAATCACACTGGAAACGGTACAACTGATCTCAGGTCAGAGCAAAAGGACGTCAACATAAACCGGACATCACTCAGTCAAAACACTGGCGTTTGAAGCATAACTAACCGCATGTGGTCATTTCAGCAGCACATCAGAATTCTGGTCTGCTGGTTTTGTCAAGTAAAAATATGCTAAATGCTCCAAGCTTTCACCCCTAAAAGTCACCGTTATTGCCAGCAATTCTAAAAAAGTGCAGATTGTAAACTTTCCATCAATACATTTGTGTGTAATCAAAAGAGGTGATATTTTATTATGATTTGTTATGATATGTTGTGTTATTATGACTTGTATTTGTGTTTTCTAATAAGAAACAAAGGAAAAAGGCCAAAGAGTAGACTTAAATTTGTTGATACAGAATGCAAATTGAACTGAAATGTATTTCATTATATGACCAGCTATGTAATTACAGTTGTATGCAAAAATCTATGCACCCTGGCCATATTCTGCTAATTTATGAAGTCAAAAAAGCTAAAAATAACATAGTAACCGTGGCATGCGCAAAAGTTTGGACACCTTTCAACATCCATAGGCTCCTTTAAGAAGCTGGCTGAGGATTTTAAAAATGAGGCTAACAGATGCCTACAAAGCAGGCAAAGGCTATAAAAAGATATCAAATCGCTTCCAGCAATTTCCACTGTCCGAAATGTCATTTAGAAATGGCAGTAAAGGGGAACTGTGGAAGTCAAGGCAAGATCTGGAAGACTGAGAAAACTCTCAGACTGAACTGTGCATATACTGGTCAAAAAGGCAAAGCAAAACCCCCATATGACAGAAAAAAGACATGCAGAACAGTTTAATTAACACAGGAGAGGTGGTGCATTCTTCTACTGTGCAGCACTGCTTGCACAAACATGATCTGCATGGAAGAGTCATCAAAAGGAAAACTAACCTGCCACCTCACCAGAAACGTGAACATTGACAACACAAAGAGAAGCATTTGACAAAAACAACAAACAAAAACTGTTAAACATAGCAGTGGACCTACTATGTTTGGGGGTTGTGTGCCAGCCATCGGCCCAGGAAACACTACAGCGATATCCACTAAATATCAGCAAACTCCTGAAGCAAATATGATGCAGTCAGTCAGAAAACACTGAAAGCTGAAAAGAGGCTGGCTTCCACAACAGGACGATAATCCGAAATGTACCTTAAAATCCACAATGAACTATTTCGAGAAACGTAAGCTGAAGCTTTTGGAATGTCCCTCAAAGTCCCCTGACTTACACATCACTGAAAATTATTCTGTAGATCTTAAACATGCTGTGTGAGACGGTCCCATGACATCACCAAACTAGAAGCATTCTGCAAAGAAAAGTGGGTGAAAATTCCTAAAATAGGAACAGAAATATGGTTACAAAGGCTACAAAAAGCGCTTTCAAGCTATGATGTCTCCCAAAGAGGATGTTACTAGGTGCTGACTTAGTAGGGTGTCCAAAATTTTGCAATTTTTTTTCTATTTTGTTCAGTAAATCAAATATGTAATAACTATGCATTAGAATTTGTAGAAATATAAAACAGATATAATACAAACTGCTTAAGAAGTTGTCTTTACTTCTTTTCACTTCAAAAGTCAACAAAATATGTAGTTGGGCCAGAGGTGGTCAAACAGGGGTGCACTTATTTGTTTCCCCCTACGGTCCACTTACTTTTGCAAACAACTAATTTTTGTAATAATAGAATTACATTTAGCGATTAAGTGACACAAATGGAATGGGTAGTTCCAATAACAAGCAGACTTCAAAGGGTTCATTTGACACATCTACACTGACCTTTTAGCAGCAGCACACCTAAGTTAGACTGGCTTATCGAGAGAGATATGTAAATCAGAGAGCAGCACATTGCTGGCTTCTCTGTGCCTTTACTGTTGAGTCAATGGAGGAGCAGCTTCTTTCTTCACAATAGATGATGGCGTTCTAAAATAAGCTGCTCTGGGTGTGTGTACGGGAGTGAACAGAGGAATATTTACTCTTCCATCTTTGACTCTTAAACAACATCATTCCAGTTGCTCCACCCCCTCCCTGCCACTCTACACTGACCCCTCCCTTTCTTTTCAGAACATTCAGGGCACGATGTGCCAAGTCATTTGCACCAATTTCAGGCACTAATCAGACACTGACCTGATACAGACGTATGCAAATGTTTAGGCAGCCCTGGTCAAATGAGTGTATATGAGTCATAATTTTTATGTGACACTTTCACAACTTCTCTTTGTACCTTAGAATCAAACAGGCCGTATTTGTTGCTGTGCCTTTAAGACTGATATATGTACATAAGCTCTGTTCTGGTTGGCTGTCCTGTATTCTGCTTCATTCAAAAAGCAGCCTGGGCCGAAACACTCCTTATAACTTCAGCATGAGCAGAGTTAAACCGCTGTAAGCCGAATAGGTGGATATCTGTAAATGTGTTGGTCTTTTGTGACATATATGGACTAACTGGACTGGGGAGCGAGTTGTATGTCTTGAAACTTTAACAATGTTTACATATTATATCAAGCTATGTAAAAAAAATGGAGATTATTCAGATTTCCATTATATGGCTTCATCAAACTCAGCAAATAAAAAGAAACTGTGCATTGAAATTTATTCCCTGGAGAGGATGTTTCATTTAGAAAATCAGCAAAACATGTAATTTGACCAGGGGTATTCAAACCTTTGCACAAGACTGCACAAAACTGGCTAAGCCTGTAGCTTTGGGGCTATTTCTCTCTCTTGTGCTATGCATTTGATGGAGGAGCAATCCGAAAATACTAGAAGATACTATACATGCGGTGATTACTTATTCCACTTGATAAAGTTTAAACAACTCACGGTAGCCAGTTTCACATGGATTTAAAACAGTGGTTTAAACGCAAACTGCCTTATTATTGGGAGACTTACGAAAAGTGGCAGCAGATACAGTGTTTAGAAGGTCCTCAAACATGTACTGAAAGTAAATTTACCTTCAAAATAACACTATTTCACCCCTCAGGATCAGATATAAGCAGGCTAGTCACGACCAATTTGGCTGTTATCTTGCTTTCTAGCTATTTCCAGTATCTCCCAACTGACAACAGACACAGCTCAAGCCCAAATAATCTAACATTTCTCACCGCTACCTTCTGCAAGTGTTATAGCTCTAAGTCAGAAGAGCTTTAGCTCATTTTCTCATTACATATTATTTTAATGCACTTCCCATTACACTAATACAACTACTATTAATAATAATAATAACAACACAAAATCATGATATAATACTGCTATAATGCTTAGTGGAGTTTTTAAATATTTTAATATTTCATTGTTTTTTAAAAGCTCTTGCATCATTATTACCGTTATTATTTGTGGAGGTAGTAGCTGTAGTAGCTGTAGATTCATTTTCTTCACTCGTCCACCTCTCTTTATAACAGTTTCAACAAAAGTGGTCGCCAGCATGAAGAGTTCCACCACCTCTTACAAGAGCTAGTGATTCTGCAGGTATTTCTATAGGTCAGTGGGGGGGAATTCAAGGCTCTGCTTCTACTTATTGCTCCTCTCGTTAAAAAGGAGCAAATGAACTCCGTCACTCACAGCCTTTCAGCTCTTGTCCTCCATATATTGTCTTTAACCTCTGTCATATAAGCTTTTGTGCTCTGCTACAAGAGTTCTGCCCCCATCCTGACGCACAATTGATGGCATTAATAGACGCGTGTTCAATTTCAAAACTTGGTGTGTGTTTCTTCAATAGCAATAGCGCAAAATCGCAAACTTCAGCTAAAAAAATTCAAATTCAGTGCCTTAAATGACCAACCATCCTCTGTTGTTGAAGACGTTAGATTTAATGGCACGTGGCCTCCATACTGTAATGATTTTGCCTGTTTATTTAACGCAATGTTTGATTAATGTAAAATGTTTTCATATAATGTCAGCTCAGTTTTGTCCCACTGAACACAGATCATATTACTGTGTTTTCTTTATTACTGTGTACTTTTTAAGTTTTGTGAGTTCATGTCAGGTCTTGGTTTTCTAGCATGTGTGTCTTGAAATTCGGTTTTATCATTTACCTGAGAGGGAGGAGGAAACAGTAGCGGATGACCACCCCCAGCCCCCACAGCACAGTGAGCCGTGTGCTGATGTGCTGGACGTTGTAGTTGCTGCGCGTCAGCAGGTTCCATGATTCTAGCTCCTCGGCTGTGAAACGCTTGGTCACCTCATCATCCACGATGCTCTCCACACCGCGCCGGCAGAAGTAGAAGATGTCCGACATGGCGAATTCTGAGGACGAAGGAGCGGGGCCTGTGGATGTGGAGGAGGAGCCACTCAGGTCCCGGTTGCTGCCGCTGCGGCGGATCTCTTTCAGCTCCTCTTCCAGAGAGGTGGGCTCTTTGGCTATGATACCTAAACATAAATAAGAGATGCCCACTTAATAAATTCCACTTATTTCACGAAACGAGGGCTGGAGTGATGTACTGAGAAAATGATTACTGCAATCAGAATTCACTGAAAAAGAAAAGTCATCTTGTTCCTCTTTTCATGAAGCTGAAGTTGGCTTCATATTTGCCAGCTTCTTATTAGACTTTTCTCGTCCACCTTAAGAGATGCGGCAGCTACCTAAGATTTGCTGCTATAAGAAGCTGGCAAAAAGCAGCAAATCCTGGTTTCATCCTGTTTTCCACAAAGCTCTGTGAAAAATATTGTTTGCTTTTGGTTTTTGTTTTAAAGCCCAGTATTTAACAGAAAGAACATAAAGAAAAAACGGAAAACTGGAAAAAAAAGTTGACAAAGAAGAGTCAGCTCCAAGCATTTTGACTCTCAGAGTCATTGGCCAAGAGTTGACCTCAGCTCCCAGACATGTTGGAGATGAAAAATAGACTCCTTCGGGAGCAACTCCCCATCTCTACTGTCCACACCGACAGCGGGGCACACCCGGCCTGCTATCAGAGCATGTGAGTGGAGTTGCAGACATGTCCGCTTTCATGAATTATAGAATTCATGCCCGTTTTCATTATGTAGGTCTGCTGAACAGCTCCACAGCGCAGACGCTGTGTATGAATGGCCGCCGTGTGCGAATGACAAAAAAGTCACGATCACGATCCCCGCTCCACACCTCTCACATGCTCTGCCTGCTATAATTCCAGTTTCTCTGCTATAGTGTTGAAAAATATATTTATTACTTATTACTTACCCAATCTAAACTGAACAATATGTAAGGAGTGTCCAGTATTTACAGAACCTTTGTAAGACTAACACTACGGAAGTCAAAAGAACATACATGAAAAAACAGGAGTTTTCAAAACTAGCATTCAAAAAATGATTAAAGATACAGAGAAAATGGAACTTCGAACAGCTGTGAAAGACTTAACTGACCACCTAAACTGGCACCATCAAATAAACAGTAAAGTTTTTATTTTTGAAAGTCAAAGAAAAATAATCAAGCTACAATTTTGCTTTAGTTTAGAAAAAATCTACAGGTGCTTGAGTGCTATGGGTCTGAAAGGATGTGTAGCTGTCAAGCAACTGTTACTGAGAAAAGGAAAAGTAGAACCCAGAAGTGGGATATCTGAGATGTGGTGTAAGGTTGAGCCTAAATTTGTAAATCTGTGGTTGGTATAGTGTAGTTGGTAACATGTCTACGTTCTATGCTGTAGACCGGGGTTCGATCCCCTGTCTGGACAAGCATCCTGCACTATACCAATAAGAGTCCTTGGGCAAGACTCCTAACACTACCTTCACCTAGCTGTGTAAAAAATGATCAAACTGTAAGTCACTCTGGATAAGAGCGTCTGACAAATTCCGTAAATGTAACAGGGATTTCTTGGATTGTGAGAAGCAGAAAATGCTACCAACTTCTAAGACTGAACTTTGGAGGTGTGAAAAAACATCCCTGCAGATTTCTTTGAAAAAGCTGAAAGCAAGTCCTCTGAAAAGAAAGTAACAAAGGTAAAGAGTGGACACACTAAATACTGACAAGTGTTAAGTAATATTTAGCGTTTCATGCTTTTTTCCGACACTGAAAAATGAAAAACTTGTAGAAATTGAATAAATGAAGTTCGTTCTCAGACTTCAGCACAGCACTGCATGTACTGAATTGTCTGAAGGTGGACAGACAGCAAACACCGTCTGCAGAAAGACACATTTACACACTAAAAGGACAACACCAAATCAAACAGCCCCACGCAAACGTCACGAGCAGATGAGCACACATACTTATGAATAGACAGAGCTAAAGCAAATAATCCTAGTTAAAAACTTGTTCAAATATACACAGCAAACTCACCATTAGCATAGGGTTTATACAGGTGATGATTCTTCTCCTTGGCTCCTCTCTCAATCCGCAACGTGGCCCACTGAAAAATACATCGATCACTTTCAGAATAATGCTGCTACAAACGTGAAAATTATAAGCACAAATACGGTGAAACAAGATACAAACAGAAACAAATACGGATGATGCAAATCCCTCACTGAAAGAGATCACAATACTGAGAGTTCTAGGATTTGCACATACATGTATGATATGTACAGATAACAGGGATATGACAGTTTTTTACTGCTTTTATGCCATCAAACCTAAAGCCTCACCAGTGATCCATTCAGATACTTTAACTTTTTCCAAAGCCAAAGTATCGCCAGTGAGATGTACACTTTGGCAGCTTTCAGGCATTAATGATATACCATGGTATGAAACACAGAAGAATATAGTACAGTAGTGTCTAATCATGGTCCTGGTGATCTACCACCCTGCAGAGCTCCAGCTCTAATCTAACACACCTGAGGTCTCATTTACCAAAGCGTATGTAGACCTTGTTCTGAATTTGCGCGCAGTGCAGCGCACCAAAAGATTGGCATTTATCAAATGCGTGTACGCACAGCTGTACGCAACGAACGATGATCAATCGTACACTCCTCTACTTCTTCACACCTAAAAATGTCAACAGTTTCCTTTACAAGACCCCAGCAGCCTATAAGGCAAAGCTCAACTAAAGTGGTGTGCGTAAAAATGTAGTTTGCACAGGTAAAAATGCATTTTGGCTGCGTGCTTTACACCACTGCATTCGACGTTTGCATTGCGCTTGGTGATGTAAGGCTTGAATGCAGCTGCTCAGCCATGGAAACCCATTCCATGAAGCTCTCTACGCTGTTCTTGAGTTAATCTGAAGGCCACATGAAGTTTGGAGGTCTGTAGAGACTGACTCTGCAGAAAGTTGGCGACCTCTGCGCACTATGCGCCTCAGCCCCGCTCTGCCATTTTACGTGGTCTACCACTTTGTGGCCGAGTTGCTGTCGTTCCCAATCGCTTCCACTTTGTTATAATACCACCAGTTGACTGTGGAATATTTAGTAAGGAGGAAATTTCACAGCTGGACTTGTTGCACAGGTGGCATCCAATCACAGTACCACGCTGGAATTCACTGAGCTCCTGAGAGCGACCCATTCTTTCACAAATGTTTGTAGAAGCAGTCTGCATGCCTAGGTGCTTGGTTTTATACACCTGTGGCCGTGGAAGTGATTGGAACACCTGAATTCAATGATTTGGATGGGTGAGTGAACACTTTTGGCAATATAGTGTAGCACCAGAAAATGATTAGCCCCCCCCCACCCCATACTCATGAAGTAAAGAAAACGTGCACACGATTAATAGAAAACGAGAGAACAAATTGTTCATCATGGAAACTAATTAAGAAATCATGACCATGAAGAAAAGAAAACGTATGTAAAAACTGCAAAACATTCACTCTAATTTTTTTTTTACCTCTGTCTCCTCCGGGGCTCCGTACATGTGTCCACACCCCTCCTATTAAGTTCAGGTGTTTGAGCCACACCCATTGCTAACACGTGTATAAATTCAAGCTCATAGTCATTTTATTTCCTGACCTCATCCCCACTTCAACTGTGAGCCAGACCTTCTCGTCCAACATCAGCGCCTGACCTCACAAATGCTTATGATTAAAAGGGCCCGAAACCCCAGACACACTCCAAAATCTTGTGGAAAGCCTTCCTAGAAGAGTGGAGGCTGTTATAGCCACAAAAGAGGGGCCAATTCTGTATTAATGCCCATGGGTTTTGGAATGGGATCTCCAACAAGCTCACACAGATGTGGTGGTCAGGTGTCCACATCGTTTTGACCATACAGTGTATTTAAGACAATTATTATTTGATCACTTTTATTCATTTTCGATATTTTGAAATTTCACTGCATTCCTATTTTTTATTTTTTGATAACACCAAAACCTGTGATCACTGATATCAAGACATGAAATGTTCACGCTGTCCTGGCTCTACTGCATAAATACACATATGCACATGTTGCACACAATCTAAAAATGGAAAAGTGTTCCAGGGGCTCAAGTGACCTCCAGGTTGCTCAGAGCATTCAGGAGGAGGCCAGAAAGAGTGTCTGTGCACATGTGAGTGTGTGTGTGCACGTGTGCGCACCATAGCAAGTTCATTCTGCAACTCCAGACTGACATCATTGGCCGTTACATAACATGAAGATAGAGTTGAGACTCACAAGCACTCCCTGCTTTTAAAGCACCGATCTTCATCTATCCTCTTCATCCTCACACGTTAAGCCCCGTGTACCAGTAGTATAATTCTTTTTATAAGTAGTTTTTATTTAGTGGCAGTTCAGTGTTACTCTTTACTGGTCCTTACAGCTCCTGTTTTAGCCCTGCCCATGGATTCCCATTGGAGGCATTAGAACTTCCTAGAAGAGCCTTGAAATTTGATGCTTTTAGGCCTATGGATAAACATAGGCCGAGTTCACACTCTTTGGACAAGCAACGTCAGCTCTAAAAGGTGAGACTCACACCAGTAGACTTTACTGATTAACCTTGGGATCAACACAATTTTAGCCTTGACAAAGCAACAGTCATGAGTTTCTCAGTGACGTCTGGATCCAAAACTATTTCACTGTGGAACCGAGTGGAAAACATGCAGAGGGAAAAGAACAGCACTGCTTTCCGCTGTCATTGTTTAGAGTTACTCATGATTTGTTAGGAGAGAAATGTTTGTAATAATCCTCTCTAAGTGTTGCCTGCCAGTATTACAGTAGTAGATACTGCAATCAAGGAGAGATACTGGAAGCTTGAAAAAAGGGTGGGCAATATGACACATACATACTTTTCCGAGCATATTGTGAGTATCATCTGGACTTCTAGGACTTTTACCGATTGCTTATTTCACTAAAAGAGGGTTTAGAAGTAGCACAGTTGTCATTACATTTCAAACTTTTGGTGGGACGTCACAAGTTCAAAGACATCATAGCTGTCCCTGCTTAAGGAAGACCCAAAATAGGCTGTTTCTGCTCTTTAATCTACTCTCCGTTAATGGCACGGCATTACTGTTGCATTTATTTTTCGGAATAAACCGATATGGGAATTGGGGGTTGATGCCAATATCTGATATTTTTCCATGTACTTATCTGCCAATGCTAGTATGTAAACATAATAAAACATAGAAACTGGGACTAAATCTACCTGGATTTACATTACGGAGCATAGTAACCCAATGTCACCTAAACATCCTGTTCTACTGGTGTACAATAAATACACCATCAAATATCAGTTTAAAATATTGTCAAATCTAAACATCTGTCCAATGCCAATAATCATGTTTAAGCACATATCAAGCAAATAGCAATATGCTTTCAATATCACTGTGTATCCCTTTTTATTTAAGATGTAAAGAATGTGATCTAATAAAGCAGAGGTCACCAATAGGCGGACCGCAGTCCGAGTCTGGACCCAGACGCTGTCCTATGCAGACCTGGACCTATAACCGATAAACTATGGAGAATTATTTAATTTCGACGGGGTGGTCCTTTTTTTACACGGCATAACTTCTAGCCTTTATGGTACCACTTTGGCAGCCCGGCAACTCACAGTCCAATCGCATGCATTGTAAACCACTCAGCCAATCAGATCTGTGCATTACTTTGAGCACTGAGACTCGACCGAGTGGCGCACACACAGGGGAGGGCAACGAGATGAGACATAGCAGTTGGAGAAGAAAGTGAGCCAGATTATTTCACATGCCGTGCTCTAAAAAGAGAAAACTGTCAATAAATATTGTTGAAATATTACTGAATTGTACTTTATTTGATTCGACATTCAGTTGTTGACTACATAGGATGTTAATATAACTACTACTTCAGTAAACAGTATATGGCACTGAATCATAATGCAAGTTAGATGTTATGATGTTCCGGACCTTTGCTTGAGGAAATTTTCTTTGACTGGAATTTTAATTAAAGCCCCTGTAATAAAGCCACAAAAATCATTGATTTTCATTTACCGTAACAAGAAAATGCATCAACAGAAAAATCAGAATAGAAAGTTAGGTGCCTTTCATTACTCTGATCTAAAAAAATCAACAACAATCACTTACTGATCAGAACTGCATGCTTGCTTAGGAAAAAAAAACAAAAAAAAACAGTGCATCCAGCAATAAAGGAAGCTTCATGCTTCTTTTATACAGTGATTGAAAACATAGCAGCACACAGAAAGCTCAGATTCCACATACTAATACAGTTTACATAAATAAACAGACAAATGCTAACCATGTTACCTCAGCTAACGATAAAAGTCTAATCACATAGTAACTTATTTCACTTTGTGTCTTTTAGCTGGAAAACAGCAAGTTTGTGAAGAGTCAGTTAGCAGATAACAAGCGTCAGAAATTCACTACATGTTTATTCCATTAAATCTATACCAGCGTGGTGTATAATGAGTCCCAGCTTGATCTTTATCGGCGCTTTTCACGAGGATTAGCTGTGCTTTGTACTGATCAGATTGATGCTGCTTCTCGTCTAGTGTGCAGCAGTTTTTAGCCAGCTGCAGTAGTCTTCAGTTTCCTTCATCTGACTAAACAAATCAGAATCCCTTACTAAAACACAGGCTCTTCACTGCCTGCTGGCGCAGTATAGAGTTCAGACATGCCATGATTCTTAAGTATGATTATTATTTAATTTTTTCAAACGTTCTTGACTGTTCGGAAATGCAGACTCATTCCTAGTAAATTGTGAAAGCATGAAATCTGGCACTACTGGAGTACTGGGTCTGTTCCAACATATCAAACAAAAAAAATTCAATGATAAATATTGTATATTGTATATGAATGTGTGTTCAAGTACTGTGATATTTTTGCTGTATCGCCCAGCCCCACTTCACAGTTGGCGTGCAGGCCTAGCAGAATCTGGAGTAGATTTCCCTCCGTCCTTCCTTCTCTCTGAACTGCAGCTCTCTCACTTTCCATTTCACTCTGACATCACTTTCCTGAAGCTGTGTAACAATTTCCCCTCCTCCTAGTTCAGGAACTGACGGGACAGGGCAGATAGAGACCAGTTGCATGTGCGTTCGTAGGAAAAGTGAGAAGGCACGAGCTCTTGCATAACAGTCTGGAAAAGGGGGGCATTTAATATGTGTGTGTGTGTGTGTGTGTGTGTGTGTGTGTGTATATGTGTGGGTGTATATGTGTGGGTGTATATGTGTGGGTGTATATGTATGTGTGCCTTTTAAAATGACCAGCAGCTGTAGGGAAGAGGCCCCTCTACAGCATTCCTATTCCACCCAATATAATCTCTCATTCCTTCCTTCTGTCTTCACTCTCTCTACACAGATAAATACACAAACATAACTTCAGTATATACAAGCGCACACACACATTCATACATATATATATATATATATATATATATACACACACACATATATACACACACACTCACTATGTCTATCAATATAGGAAGATATATGTATATCTATCGCTTTCTAAGTTTTTCTTCTCAGCCTCTATGATATGAGACACCAGACACAGCCGATGCACTGGCTTGACAGCAATCCATAATTCATCAGATATAATATTTTCATGAAAGGAGCAGAGCAAAATGTAGGCTACCTACACCCATCAATGCCAACTAGTCTTATAAGTTGTGACTTGGCAGCTCTTAAAGCAGCAGGTAAAAAATTACATTTACACAATTAAAAATATAGTCAATCATCTTTGCTTTCTGAAATCTGCTTCTCTTTTGCGCTGATGCTACAAAGCTAATGTAGTAATGGACACATATTGAAATAGATTTTTCAGAATTTCTGCGCAATTAAATCATTATGATATAATTCGGAGTGGTTTGACATTAAATGCTCCATTCTAGAGAAACTTATCATGTCTGACTTGTTCACAGTGGTGGTCATAGGAACCAATTTTCCAAAGCAGTGGTATAGATGGATAGCCCACTCTGATAGATACAATTTCGAAACGGGCTAACGCCACGCAATTTCATTAGATTAGTCTGTAGCCTATCCCTGACAGCCATGCAGTCATCACCCTACATATATCAACGCCTCCACACTGTCATAATATAATCATATTCTGGCAATCAACCAGAATACTGGATTCACATAAACACAACAAACACCGCAGCACCCTTTACTATAATGACTAGCAATGACACATGCATCCGCTCACCACACCATCTGTACAACATAATTTAATAACAATTTATTATCAATTTATTTTAATAATAATTTTTTAAAGATTTCTTAAATTCAAACAGCTGAGATGTACAAAGGTGGGGGAAAACTACACAGCAAACCTAAAAAGCCAAACCTAATAATCCTAGGCTAAACCATTCTGCCATAGTGGGTGGACCCAAAGATGACAACATGACAATCAGACAGCTGACACATGCAAAGATAAGGAAAAATAACACAGCAAACTTAAAAACCTAAACCTAATCATTGCAGCCAAAAACATAAATTATTTATGGTCCATACAGGTCTTACCTTTGATTCACTGAAGTAACATTAGATGTCTGCTTTGACATTTTCACAAAGCCTATTTCAGCCTTTGTAGTAAATCTCACAACTGATGGCAGTAATGTTTTTTCAGCTTTGGATGGTTAGAAATTGACATTCATCTTTTAGCCACAACCAGAGCTTAATATTCAAACCATGGTTATTGGTTTCCAGACAGTTAGAATTACCATTTCAATTTCAATTTCATTACAATTATCATTAAAACAGTGGTCGATAACTGCGCTTTGAAGAAACTCGCGTTAAATACTGTCTAGCATCAACCAAAGTCTAGCAAAGTTAGCAACAGTCTCCCAGAGGCAGGCGCACAGGCGTAGCACACAACGTGGGTTTCTTTTGTGTTAATGTAAACATGGCAGAAGGCAGTGACAGTGGAGATTTTGTCTGTGGACTGAGTCTGGAGCGTGGTCATATTTTGTTTTTTATCAGAGTGAAGAGAAAAACCTCTTTTTGCAGAACATGCAGAAAGAAAATTGCTGTAAAAGAGTCTTTCTTGTGCCCTCCAGCCCGTTCATGTTCTGATGTATTTCACTTCCTTGTCGAAATGTCCTACTGTGTATCACATATTTATAGGTAGCTCCGTATATAAAACTCCTGGTAGGACTCTTAGATAGCTTAGATAACCTTAATCAAAAAAGACTACCAGCACTAAAACTACAAAGCTGAAGTCAGCTTCTTGTTCAAAATTTCCTGTTCCACCTTAAATGGCACAGCAAGTGTTATAATGCCTGAGGCACCAGATTGTAAATGCCGCAGGAAACCAAATTCAGCATTAAAACATAATTAGGATACCAGCATTAGAAAATAATTAGGATATTCTGATACATTGCTCCAGCTTGGCTTATCAGGTGGTGAGTACTAATATTCAGCTGAATCTGTACTGAGTTAACATTAAAAACACAATAAAATGTTTGAACGCTCTCATGTTTGAATTGTTTGAACCTCTCATGGCGACCCGGTGCCACCTTTAATGCTAATGCACATTTAATATTATTTACATAGGTTTACATGATGTAGGTCTATTGGCTATACTATATTATTTTAATGTTTATGCAAGCACAAGTGTATTGTTCTGCTAAAATCACTTGAAATTTTCAATATAAAATTGGTAAAATGATTTCAGTTTGTGTATCAGTATTTTTGAACATTTTCAGCACATTTTAATACAATGATAAATCTGATAACCATGATAATTTTTTTAACTATAATCATGATATTATGTTTCACACCGTTTCACCAGTTCTTTAGGTAGTGACAACATACACAACATGCTCATTAAAGCATTTCATTAACCCTGATAACAAAATTTACTACAATATCATCATGTTTCCCACCTCTACAAATTAGATTTGTCACAGAAGCATCGTATTACTGCCACCTTGAAAAAGAGGATTACTGCCTGTCCAAGCTTGCTCTGCCTGCCCTTCACTCTCCCTCCAGACTCTCCAGTGCTTTGACCTCTGATTCCAACTTGATGTGTGGAAACTGAAAAACTCATTCTTGACAGCAACAGATGCTAAATGATCATTTATAGTTTGGGTTAAAATTAAGCTACACTGTTCACAAGTGCACAAATATGTAAAATTAACCGATAATTCAGAGTCTGGGTAGCAACAAGACCAAAGCAAATGACAGTCCAAACCGACTCATTGTGCAGACTCGGTTTATAAAGAAGCTTTTCTCCAGACCCTACAGCAGCGCTGAATATGACGAGACAGCTATAATACATGCCTCCACAGATCGGCACATCAGCACATTATTTAGCAGTCGAGAGCTGAGTCATGACCCAGTGGAGCATCTTGTGAGTGAGCATACCCTCACCCAAAATGAGCAACGTCTCATACGTGTCAAAATCTGCAGTACAAATCTGTAGACTTGCCATTCATGCAAAACCTCAAGGTCAACATTTGAAAGGAACCAGAAAATCTGCTTAGCTGTGCTGAGTCTTGCAAAGCTTCACAACACAGAGTAATAATGCACTTCATCACGATGCATGGATATGACGATGGTAATTTTGGTATGTTACACACACACACACACACATTTCATAAGCCGCTTATCCTTCTGGGTCGCGGGGGGAGGTATGTTACGATGAATTACAATTAATTGCAATAATATTGAACAAAATACAGTACTATGCAAAAGCAAAGACCACCCATAAAAAACAGTCAAAATGGGGATTATATATGTTATAACCTATATAATCCGAAAGTCTATTCATTTTTTAGAACATATTTCTGTAAGACAATCCATTTGCACAAGGAGTTAAAAATCCATGCAAGACCTGGTAGAACAGCTATATTCTAACTACAGTACTAAGTACTACTGTACTACTCAAAGCTTTCATCTTTGGGAGAGAGGAGAAAATCAAGCTGCTCTGATGCTTGATATTTGAAAACATCCACAGGTGTTTCTGTCCATCCTTCCACTGTGAGAAGACAACTCAACACTGTGGGTCTGAAAGGACGTGTAGCTGTCAAGAAGCCACAAACAACATTCAAAAAAGATGAAGCTTTGCAGTAAAACACCAAAACTGGACATCTGAGATACAGAATAAGGTTTAATGGACCGGTGAGTCTAAATTTGTCATTGGGATTACTTGGATCAGAAGAAACAGAAAATGCAACCAACTTCTAAGACTAAACTTTGGAGGTGTGGAAAAATATCCCTGCAGATTTGAAAATAAGCCTTCTCAACAGAATGGAAGCGGTAATAAAGGCAAAACGTGGACACACTAAATACTGAAAAAAATTATATTTTAAGTGGTTAAACAGTGCTACTTGTGCTCATTCTTTGGCCAACATATAATTATTTAGCTATTTTCAAAGTGAAAATGCAAAAAAAGAAATTGTGTATATTTGGGACTAATTCTGAATAGTACCAATGTAATAAAAATGAACTGTTGATAAATTAGAGATTTCTCACCTCAAACACCTTGAGCAGGGACTTCATGTAAAGCCTGCGGATGCCGAAGGACACGCCGAACACGGCCGGCACGATGATGAAGACCAGCAGCAGAGTGAACCAAACAGTGAAGGAGATGCCCAGGAGCATGCACAGCAGGTTATCGAAGGGAGACATAAACGGACCCATCTCCAAACTAATACCACGAACGATGGGGATTCTTCTAAAACAAAAAGGTGGGGGGGGCGGGGGACACCCAAGGAGTGATTGTGTTCAGGCAGTTCTGGGCTTAAGTCTCCACAGCATGATTTGTAAGTCCATAATGACGCTCTTCATTAGCTTCTTAAACAACCATGGTCCATAACTGTGGTGAGAGCTTTCTTCAGCCAAAGTCCTCTTGGCTTCACCTGCCCATGCAAATGGCCTCCAAAGTCCCCAGGGACCTTTTCTTTAAGTATAACAGCTCAATGTTATTGTTATACACCATCAAAATCGATTCCCTCCATTAAATGCTGCTTAAATAGCATTACGATACACTTCAGGAACTTCTCGGAGGCTGGCTGAGAAGAGGCCAAGTTCAGTCTTTCATTCAGTCTTAATGGAAAGGTATGAAATGTTGAGACCTAAAATTAAACAGAATTAGTTTATATGAAGGCACTGTAATTAATATACATGTAAAATGAGTACAATTACTGCACCTCAAGCAAATAACAATAACCAAATACATGAAATGTGAAGTCTGTTAATACACACCACAAGTTGACAAGTTAGGACAGTGTGTGAAATGCTAATAAAATTATAAGAAAGCAGCGATTAGTAACTTCATTTTGACTTGTATTCAATTAAAATGGTACAAAAACACAATACTTAATGTTTTGATGGAACTTCATTGGGGGTTTTCGTACATATATGCTCTTTCCAACTTTAATGCTTCCAAAAAAGTTGGGACAGGGGACATGTTCACCAGTCCTACATTACCTGGAGACAAAAATTTAACCAGTTCTGAATGTGAACTTTGTTGCCATTCTTCTGTTATACAAGTCTTCAGGTACGCAATCACATGGGGGCTTTGTTGTTATATTTTGGGCTTTATGATGTGCCACCCATTTTCAGTGGGAGACAGATCTGCACTGCAGGCAGGTTAGTCTAGCACCTGCACTCTCTGACAACGCAGCCATGATGTTGCAACGCGTACAGAATGAGGACTGGCCTTATCATGCTGAAATAAGCATGGACATCCCTGAAAAAGACGTCATGTAGAAGGCAGCATATGCTGCTAAAAATGTGTATATATCGCTCAGCTTTAATGGTTCCTTCACCGATGAGCAAGTTATCCAATAATACCCCAGATACCATGGCAGCCAAGTTTATGCTGGTAACAATCTGGATGGTCCTTTTGTTCTTTAGCCGCATCTTAATGGTAACGTCATATTAGCTGGTAGAGAAAATGTTCGTTTATGAATAGTCATTGTGAAAAGATGCTTTTGGGATTTCCAGCCCTGAAAGGTTGACTCTTCACACCACACAACACGTTTCCACTGGGCATCAATTAATGTAAAACACTAAATATTTTAATTTAAAAAAATCAAATGTCTTGTTTGTATTTTTTTCCAACTTTTTAAACGTATTGCTGGCATCAAATTTAATATGCGCATATATTTTCCAAAACACAATAACATTTCTCAGTTTCAACATTTATTTATTGTACTATTTTCAAGTAAATATAGCATTTAAAGAAATATAGCACATCATTGTATTCTGTCTTTATTTCCATTTTACACAGCGTCCCAACTTGTTTGAAAAACGGGGTTGTAGAAGCGTCACAAAGACGTCCACATCAAGAAAGCTGCTGAACTTTCTTGACCGCTGAAAGACTCAGTGAAGCAGAACAAGGAGACATTTGAGTGTCCACTGTCCCAGTGTTGGTGGGGGATTCTTGCTGTGCTTACATAACTGCAGCATTAAGGAAAAGACGGGGACCATTCATGCCAAACAGCTGGAGGTTGAGTCCAGCGCCACAGAAAGCACATTGTTGGGTTAGCGTAGGCTGCTGTCCACAACAAACGAATTAAGGCGCGTATTTGTCGCCCACCCAGCAACACTTATTGCCTGCTCAGCATATTGACAAGAAAAATGTAGCGTTTTCTGATACTAGGGTACGAACTACATCCTCAGCTATGTGTTTGGAATCCACGAACAGCTCATTTCAGCTTCCAGCCTACTTTGTGGTCTCGTCTCAGTTAAGGGAATTCCACCGATTTTTAAGGGTTTCTGTGTAATTCAGTCACTGAGATGTAAACAGAGTCATTCAGAGTAGCCTGATGTGAAATGATTTATTGTAAAGAAACTTGCCAACTTAGATGTCTATACAGTGGTGGTGATAGGAACCAGGCGTCACATTGTCTACAATGCAAAATTGCCATTTTATTTACTATCCAAAACGACCAGTGAACCTACACGTGTCTTCTGATTTTTCATATGAGATGATGATCATGGCAAAATAGTGGTGTATCTGGAAAAACCATGTTTCTTTGGGGGCTATTTTGCCTCACAACGCTGTACATATACTCCTCCACCATGAACAGCTTTAAAAAATACATGTTTTAGGCCAAACCCTTACCTCAAAGGTTCAGTTAAACTACGTCTCAGACATCAGCCAGCATATTCATAACCATGTAATGTAGAAACCTTCTGTGAGGAGCTTTCAGAGGAATTAAACACTTCTGACGTCTGGTTCCTATCACCGCCATTCTGAACAGTTCTGACTTGGTAAGTTTCTCTACAACAGAGCGTTTCACACCAAACCACTCTGGCTGACTCGGTTTACATCCTAACCATTTAATTATGCAGATATTTTGGGGAAAAAAGTGGACTTCCCCTTTAAGAGACGAGCTTTCTTGAATGGATTCACTTCAGTTTTCTGGCTCATCACTCTGTAGCTGGCCGGCTAAGTAAGCCCCTATGTTCTGGTCAGGCTGAGTGAAGGAAGGCAGTAGAGAGTAACTGTCCCTGTCACTGCACCGTTACACCCAGCCTACACGGCCAAATAACCGGGTTCAGTCCTGGAGTGCTGGAACTGGACAAAGCTGACTGGTTCTGGCTAGAAGAGCCAGCCAGCATCGGTTCAGCTGAGTGAGAATAACGTTATGGTGAACCATACAGTGAAACTACAGCGCTGACCGGCTAACATAAGGATGTAACGTTACAACGAGGACTTGGTTTGAGATGCCCGACTCCGGCACAGCTCCTATGTCGCTGTATTTAGTGTTCGTTAAGTACTCACCCTGTTTGTATCGTAGCTGACTGAGCACTTCAAATGGCCGTGTCCGTCTTTGGCCGCTCGGCTCCAGCTCTTTCCACCGGCACACGAGCAGCTCTACAGCGGCGCTCCGCGAACGTCCTCTCGGCGTGGGCTGTGATTACGTACGCGGTGACGTAGAGCGCCAGCGCGGGTAGGGACCGGTTGTCGAGCGCCCTCTATAGCCCAGCCTGCGCAGTGACAGGATGAATAATTGTTTTAAACAGGATTTAAAGCTTTTATTTTGCTTTTAAATCTCCCTGATGTCTACTTATAGGTGATTTCACGACTGATGTTTCATTAGTGTCCCACTGATTTAACATTTACAAATATGTAAAGGTAAACGATAATTTAAAGAGCATATGTCCTGGATTTTTCTTGTATTTTATTGTTCTCTTTGACGTCCACTTATAACATTAGTGCGTTTATGTAGCAAAAATAGACATAATTAGTTTTTACATGATCATTTTCCAACTTCTCTTTATCCATTAGATTTAAATAGGCTGTTTTTGTTACTGTACCTTAAAGACTGGAATATGTAAATGAGTTCTGTCTAGAATGAAATACTCCTTATAACCTCAGTGTGAGTGGGCGGGGCTAAACCGCTGTAAGCCGAACAGGTAGATGTAAACGTGTTGATTTCCACAACATCACAGAAACAGTGAATTCAAAACGAATTCAAAAGGCTGATTTTGCAGCTTAGTTTCCATTTTTGGACTGTATGAGGTGGGGAGTGAATGGTATTTTGAAACTTTAGCAATGTTTTCCTACTACGTCAAACTTTTTCCAGCATATGGGCCCTTTAAACATGGCTAAAGTGTCCTTCACAGCAACCTATGTGCATGTTTCAGATAATTAACTTAAATCTTTAGTAATACCCATTTGCAACATTTATGGCTTTGTCTACTACACTTTACATTGAAACATCATCTTCTGTGTGGAATCTGTGTGAAACAACACTTCACACAGTTTTTGCAATATGTGTGAATCTGTTTAACATCCTCTTGTTGAAACATCATTTTCATGTCATCCATTATGGGTTATGAAAATACATAGCTTCAGGGTGAGTGGGTGGAGCTCACCTGCTGTAGCCTGAATAGCCAGCTACACTGTATGCAAATATGTTGGTTTTAGTGACTTCCCAAACACAGTGAATTCAAAACAGGCTGGTTATGCAGCTCAGTTTCCCTGTACGTACTGTATAGACTGAAGCTTTGAAGCTTTAGTTATGTTTGCATCAAACTCTCGTCCAAAAGTGTGGAAAATTAGTTTTTCCATGATTTGGGCCCTTTAAAGTCGAGCAGGAATGAGTTCAATGAACAGTTGAAAGTCCTAATCAGGCTTTTGTTCTTTTTACCCAGCCAAAATAGCCAAATGCCTTTTATTCTACCATTTCTTCTACATTTGATCACATTAAAACTGTAGTAACTGACCAAAACAGTGGTGTGGCTTTGGGCAGTCAAGTGGGGCAACTGCTCTGGGGTCTTGGTGTGGGTGGGGCCCATGATGGCCGAGCCTCCTAACGTCTTTGTTGGACCTGTTTTAACTCTACACAATTTACACCCATAATTTAAGAGTATTTCTGTTAATATAGTTTATCCACTGGCCTATTTTAGAGCACCAGTGTCATTGAGACCAAGCAATAGCAAGTAAACAAGCACATTAAGTTGTTTTTCACTGAAACTGACCTTAGCGTTTCATGCCTATTAGGGTTTTTGCACTGGGGTACATAAGATTCTAGTTATGCCACTGAAACTTTTGTTGTGTGTCTCTAATATTCAAAGCGATTAGATAAATAGAGTAAAATCTATGCTGTAGGATTCCTGTGTCTTTTGTAGTTTATACAGCAATACAACCTTCTTAAAGGAGAATCACCCTTTTTTCAAAATTTCTGCATAATTAAAGGGTTATGATGAAAACAAAGTCATTCAGAGTGGTTTGGTGTGAAATGTTCCATTGTAGAGAAACGTACAGTCAGAATTGTTCACAGTGGTGGTGATAGGAACCAGACATATAAGGAGCATAAGGAGTGCCTCCAAAAGCTCCCTCACAGAAAGTTATTACATTATATGATTATGAATACACTGTTGGATGCCTAAGGCATTGTTTTATGATAGTTTTGAGAAACTACTTTGTTTCAAAATCTGTTCATGGTGGTGGGATACATGCAGGGTGTTGTAAGGTAAAACAGTCCCTGAAGAATTTTTTTTTTTCAGATTTGCCACTATTTTACCATAAACAACACTACATATAAAACTCAGAAGACATGTAGTCTCACTGGTCATTTCGGATAGCAAATAAAATGGCTCTATTTGCACAGTAGACATTACATCCCCTGACTCCCAACACCAGCACTGTAAATAAAGTTTCTCTACAAAGAATCATTTCATTTCACACCACTCAGAATGACTCTGTTTACATCTCAACCACTGAATTATGCAGCAATTCTGAAAAAAGTGGAGCTACTCATAAAAGGCTTGTCTTCGTGCATTTTTCTTTTTTAAGCAGTAAGATAAAAATCTGTCCAGAAGATGGCGCTCTTGCATTATCATATCCTCCTGAGACCCAACCATTCATTTTTTCCTCTGCAGAAGACATTAGTTCTGTAGCTGTACATTCCAGATCATCCATATTATCATGAAAGTTGCTAATTTCTCTTTAACCTCTTATTGTCCAGGGTATATTTTGGTTTTTCCATCTGAATTTACATGACCAAATCGTAAGGCAAATTATTCAGTAACTGTGTGAAATAAATGTAAATTTTTATTTTATTTATTTATTTATTTTTTGTAAAAACTCCCCTCAAATTAACAGAACATGTGTTTTATGATACACATATTGCTTTATCCTTACAATTTACTACTGAAAGCCAAAAATCTTAGAGGCTCTTTGTATTATTATATAAAAAATATTTTTACAGAGCAGATCACTGAAGAGACGCCATCTGTTTATAGTTTATAGCCCAGATTTGTGGAAAAATGGGTCGACTTTCAGTAGAAAAAAAAACGGTGAGTTCAGCTTCTTTTATTATAAGGGTTTAAAATTACATTGCCCATCTATTTGACTGGAAAAAAGACAGTTACAGCTCTCATATGACACCCACCTTTTGAATGTAGCTTATGAAATATGAAAGTTATGAAGAATATGACAAAGTGCATTTTGGAGCCACCGGTGGTCTCAAGGAGTTGAAGAGACAATCATGAGCTTTAAAATTATACCTTTCGTTTAGGGTGGGACTTAGTGAACCTATATTGAAAACTTCTAAAGTTTCCTTTTAAAATTTCATACCATTAATATTTAAATCGTCTCTTCCGTGCAGGCACCTGAGAGACAGTGTTTTTTAATGGACCTATGAGTCTAGGCCTACAAGATGCAATGCCAAAAAGCTGAAAAGAACTGTTCAGTATTAGCAAAGGAAATGCATCTCCTGCTATGGCCACATCCAGACCCCACTGCCCAACTGAGATAATCTGGCATGACCTGAAGAAAGCTGTTCACCCAAGCATTCTCAGAAATATCAATGAACTGAAGAGGTTTCTGTGAGGATGTTCTAATTCTAAATCCTACCTAGTAGATACATCTAGATGCTAACACTTTCTTATGACTGTAGCTTTTGGCCAGCAGAGAATGTCGTCAGGTGGTGTCCAACTTTCCTCTGATGTTTTGACCTTGAACCACAACGTCCTCCAGTTGGCAGGTCGGCAGTTATGGCCAGTCACGGCCCATCTTCTCCTGGCTTGTAGCTCAACTCCTCCTGTCATTTCTAGAGCCAGCAAGCGGCTCTTTATGTTGCCTCCCTAACCTGCAAGTAGCTGTTTTTCACTCCCTTCCTGCTACTTCCAGAGCTGTGAGCGCCTTCCATACCAACAGTGCCAATCACTGCAGCCAATCTCAACTGGACATAGCCAAGATTTCCACCCTTTGTTCTTGCGTTCTTGGACCAGGTCCTGATACTTGGTGGCTTTCCTCTCGTCTTTCGCATTCCCACAGGATCGTCAGTTCAATCATGATGATCCTCTTCGCCTCCTCAGACCATATAACCATGTCAGGCCTCAAGGATGTTTGGATGAACTGAGGAAAGTGCAGTTTCCTTCCCAGGTCCACCTTCATCTCCCACGATTGCGACACTTGGAGGAGGCTCTTCTTGGAGGAGGGTGGCTTCTCCCCCTCCATGATGAGCTGGATGGATGGGGCTGGTCTCACGTTCGTTTCACTTTTTCCATCTCTCATGCTCTCCTGTGCAGGTTTGTTGGTGTTGAAAGAGTATCACACATCGATCAGAGCAAGAACGAGATGCAAAGTGCTCCAGTTTCCAAACTTCAGGCAATTTGATCTTCCACTTTGGTAGGTCCCTTTGTCCAGGCTCCTTGTGATCTAAATTCCAAGGACCTTAACCCTCGCCGTCCCTCCTCCAGTTGTCAGACCTCGGCTTGGATCATGGCTTTCCTCTGTCTGGGGTCTGCATTGCCCCATTTTTGGAAGTGGGTGGTCCCAAGTCTTTGTCTCCCTATGTGTGGGCTCCCGCTGATGTCCCTCAACAACAGCATACTATTATTATATTTAATGTTAAAAGAGCAAAATTGTCAATGCCAGTATGCATTACACAAATACATTTACAACAACTGGGAATCCCGTGTAATGTCAACCAATCCTAACAGCTAGTCTAGCCACTGCATTACCAAGCTACTGTAACTCGGTCGTCAAACAAAATTGTTAAGACAATAGTGATTCTCTTCCTTCAGCACAAAATAGATCCCTGAGAGGTTTGTTAACCCTTTCAGCCAGAGAAAATAAGCCAAACTGAGGTGTCAAGCTACCTTCCTGCCTTCAAGATATGTCATCAGATGGGGGTTTTCCTTGTCTTTAAACCATAAAATCTCACTCTGGAGAATTTACTTTTGGCCATAAAGCACCTTTAATCATTGACGGCTTTCAAAACAAGGACTCAAAGTGTCATTGATGCAAAACCTGAGCATATAGTACCATATTAGTAAGGTTTTTTGTTTGTTTGTTTGGTTTGTTTGTTTGTTTTTTTGCCATTGGACATTACCATAACCCAGCTGACTTACGGAGATTGGGGAACGGGAGAAAGTGAAACTCTTCCTGAGCTAGATTAATTCTTGCAATGTCAGATGATATTTATTGCATTTTTTGAAAGTGTTCAAAATGTTAAAATAAACATTGAACGCATCAACAATTCATCCTAGAGTACAAGTAGCCCCCCCTTGTGGACAGTCTTTTTAAACACAGGTGAGAATATGGGCATCACATCTCAAAATATTTACTTATCATGTACCAAGTAATAGGTATAAATATCAAAGCATGGCTTTGTTTGTCAGAAGCTTCACAGCACTGTTAATCAAAGCCAGTAATCCAACACTGCAGCTGTTTTGGCTTTGCTCAAATAAAAAATGTGACATAGAAAATTCACTCAGGTTGCTGGACGTTTCACTTTTGATGTGACTTGGAACCAGATTCTGCTCCCAAAACCTTCCTTCAACTATGACAATAAAAACTGGCCCCAGATCAGCATCAAACCCGCTTATAAAAGGCTCAGCAGGAGGTGCACACAGTCAGACATAACATGCCTTGAAAGGTCATCAGTGAAGTCATGGCTGGCCTTTGAAAAGGAGCCGTCAAAGAGCTGGATAGTCAAACAATTTTTGAAGTCCTCACCCATGTCTGTCTGATCTCAGACCAGATGTGTTTTTTTTCTTGTACAGATTCAGATTAGGATTATGGCTGAGCAAACTGGTCCATGGCCTGTTCTCAGGGCAGCTAGATCAAAAAGACTGTTTCAGAGGGTGGAATATCTTCCTGTGATTGGCTACAATGGATCTAACACAGTGTGATGAATAAGGTCACAAGATTATAAATGCCATCAGCTTAGGGCTGGTGGCATTTGTGAGTTTCCCAATGAGAAGCATCTTCACTTCATAAACATCTTTCAAGCAGGTAAGAACTAAAGCTGCATCTCATAAGCAAACACTGTAACTCTGGGTAATGAATACATGTTCTTTTATAGATCTGTAGATACTGTAAAAAATGGTGGTACTTTTGAAAACGTGACAGATTTAATTCAAATCATTCTAGACAACATAGAGATTTGTACGCTAGCAAGAGGAGTTTACACTGGATATGCAGTGGGACAAGCAGGTAGTGTCACTGAATGTTGGATTTTTTAGAATGAGGGAGAATTCTAGCAGTTGAATTTTGAACATATTGAAGAGAGTAGATGGTTTTGTCTGATATATCAAAGAAAAGGGAGCTGCAGTAGTCAAGGTAGGACAGTATAAAAATGGACCAACATGCTTCATGGTGACCATGGAGTAAAGGTGTGTAATATTATAGAGATGGAGAAAAGCAGTTTTGACCAGTGCCTTAATGTGGGTTTCATGGTCACTCCATCTAAATGGAGAGTAAAGTCAGAGAAATCTTGGATCTATGGATTTATGACCAATGATACTATGGGACTTTGAGTCATCAGCATAGCAGTGAAAATTAAGCCCATGATCTGACCAAGAGGTAATATGAAGAAGATGAACAGGAGAGGGCCGAGGATTGATCCATGGAGGACCCCTTGTGTAATGCCATCAATAGCAGACTTGTGTTTACCTATGGTAACAATGTGGAATCTATTACAAAGTTGCAACAGTGAAATTGTGAAATGCAAGTACAAACACAAGATATGTAATGTTTTGCCTTGCCAATTTCAGAATTTTTTTGTAAATTTATGCTCATTGTGAAATTGATGCCTGCAACACATTCCAAAAAAGCCTAATAATGTTGTAAAACGTTCAAAACATCTTAAAAAGAGGATGCAATCATGACTGGGTCCTTCATGAACAACGGTCGAGCCTTGCCACTTTGCTAAAAAATGCATCAGCAGATCATCCAACGCTTTAAGAACAAGCAAATGTCTTAAATTGGGAATATAGAGATACACCGTTCTCAGTAAAAATTGTTCATCTGTGCTTCCACAAATGCAAATTAACACTGTATTATGCAGTGAGAGCCATACGTCAACAATGTCCAGAAATGCTGCTGACTTCTCTGGGCTTGAGCTCATCTGAAACTGTCTGATGCATAGTGGAAATTAGTATCACGGTCTAACAAGCCCATCTTTTACATTTAGAATTACGTAAATAATGGACGTTGCGTTCTTTGGGCCCAAAGAATAGAAGGACTATCCAGATTGTTACCAGCATGAAGTTGAAAAGCCAGGGTCTGTCATGCTGTGAGGGTGTATTAGGGTGTATCTAACAAAATCTAGGACACATCTGAACATGCTCCTGTCTTAACTTTTTTGGAATGTACTGCAGGCATCAAATTTGGAATGAATGTATATTCACAGAACAAAGTTCATAAAGTATGAAATATTGTGTTGTTGTGCTGTTTTCAGTTACAGGTCATTTCACATAATGTCCCAACTTTTTTTGAAATTGAGGTTTACAGTAATATAGGAGGTAACTACATTCTTTAAAAAGATGGTTCTTCAAGGGTTCTTTGGTGAAGAAAATGGTTCTATATAGAACATTGAACACTCAAAGAACCCTTTGCATGATTAAAGGGTTCCTTGCATTGTGGAATGGTTCTTCAGACTGATGGAGAATGTGTTGTATATGGGTCTGTATAGAACTTTTTTAAAAAGGGTTCTATATAGCACCAAAAATTTAGCAGAGCCCTTTTTGGTGCTATATAGAACCCTTTTCAAAATAATTCTCTTTACTAAAGAACCCTTGAAGTGCCATCTTCATTTTTAAAAATATATACAACACATTCTCCATCAATCTGAAGAACTATTTCACCATGCAAAGAACTATTTAATCATGCAAATGGTTCTTTGAGTGTTTATAGTTCTATATAGAACCATTGTCTTTACTCAAAAACCCTTGAGGAATCTTTTTAGTGTAGAGTGTAGAGAAGAATAGAGTGAGAATGTGTCTGAGATTACATGATTTTTATCATCTCACAAATAATATTTTTTTTTCTTCACACACTGTTGGGTTACTAACAGTCACAATGTGGATCCTTCGAAGAGTCCAAGAGAGCGCTGAGAGCTTTCCGGCAGAGATCAGTCGGCTGGTCAGCAAAAATTCCGAGGAGATCTCAGCAAAGGCAAACCTTCTCAACAAACTCCACAACAATGTACTGACACCAGACAAAATCCCTGATTTCTTCTTGCCTCCCAGGCTGAGCAGGCGCTCTCTTGTGGCAGCGGAGGGTACTGTTTCCCAACGCCTTGGCGAAAAGCAGCCTGACTGTGGTCAGAACTCTCGGTCAAAACCTGATATGACCACAGTCAAGACAGATATGAACAAGGGCACTGTAGTGGGCCTAAGGGGTCCAACGCCAGTTCCGTTTTCACTGAAGAGCTACGAGTCTGGTCTGTTTGAAAGTCCTAACACACGGCGTAAGGAGTCCCTCTTTCACTCGGCGTTCACCCGCTACAAACTGGAACGAGTGACCCCAAGGGCGGCACCAGAACTGCCTTCTATTACACTGCTGAAGGCGAGCAGCATGGAGAGTGACTCTTCTTCTTCAGCAGACTCCTCCCCTCACAGTTCACCACCTCCCTCCTGGCCAGTCAGACGAAAATGGGACATAATGGCATCGTTGTCCCGCTCTGCATCCAAAGAATCGCTTCATAAGGACGTTCCGCTGAGCTTCAGAAACACAGAAAAGGCCCAAACTGAAAAGGCAACCCCAGCAAAAGCCAGTCACAATGGAACAGCCCAGCACCTTAATTGCTTGACCCTGACCCCACCCCTTCAGTGCCCACTGGACATGCTGCACTGTCAGGAACGCCTCCACAGCGAGCACATCCTGCTCCTCCCTAACAGAGGGTGTATCCGCCTATCCGCGTCCCACTCTGACACCACTGGGGATCTGTCCACGGTCCGCATCCGAGTGATCTCTGTGGAGGGCCTGCGCGAGCCCGGTGACCTACGACCCCTTCACTGTGGCCTGACCTTGAGCCTGACCCCCGGCAAGCTGCAGCGTCAGCACAGCGCCACCATCAGGAACTGCCGAAATCCCGTATTCAATGAGGATTTCTTCTTCACGGAGCCTGAGGGAGAGGAGGGGGGTCTGCGGGAGATGGCTCTCAGGGTGAAGGTGCTGGATAAAGCCTCTGGCCTGGGGAGGGCCGCAGTGCTGGGGGTCATCGTCAAACCTCTCTCTGAACTACTACCAGCACGAGAGAATCATTTACAGAGAGAAAGAGCTGGACTACCAGACCCAGATTAAGCCTAAATATACACTGTATAGGATTTTAATGGTAAAACAACAGTGCTGTTGCAGTTTACTTTAGTTAAGATTAAGCTTTTCGGAAAACAACTGGTTTACTGACTGTGTTCATTGTTGTATAACTTAGGTCATTTTCCTCATTCATTCCTGATGTGTAAGATTACATGAAGTAGACCTAATCTGGAAGAGATGCTTAGATTTCTACTGGGCTGAACGTGTCCTAAACGTAACTGTTTTATTATCATTATTAGTTGTAACAATTAAAACATAATATCTCTTTTCTTGGTGCAGTACAAAATGATGAGGACAAATATACCTAAAATATGAGGGAAGAAATCATCATAACTCAAGCATTTATCATTATTTTTCTGTTATTGAGAAGAGCACAAGACAATAAAAATAAGCAAAACTCAAAAATGGTTTGTCATGTCTGTTGTATAATTTTCAAAACATCAGATATTCACTATTCACTATATACTAGATATTGTAATATTTAAAAATATGTTTTACATCTGTTCATTTAATTGTTATTTAAGTATTTTTTCTTATTCATATGAAAAATATGCCAATTATACTAATACTACATGTGAAATGGATAATCACCTCAATTATGAATTGCTGTAAATGATTTGTATCTAAAATGGAGCAAAAACTAGGTTTTTTTTTTCGCAGCACTGTATAATTATGAAGAACAATCAATATGAAAACAGAATGATAAGGGACAGAAATTAATGTATAACTTCTATATAAATTAACATATATAGAATGAATAGTGATATAAATTGAAATAATGTTGATGCATATGGAATTAATATTGATATACAAGGATCAGACATTGAAATAAACAAAAATGGAGACAACAATTTCTATGATATTTGATATTTATTCATTGAACGTTTATATTTCATCAACCACCCTTAAGTCCATCTATGCAGGGGGTTACTGTGTATGCATACTGGCCACTTTATCAGAAACCCCTCCCTTTAAGCTCCTCCTGGTGTTTGTTGATGCACATTTACTGATACACAGTTGTTAGCCATCCTCTAACCCTTCAACAGTTTCTGACCTCAGAGATGCCCTTGGCTGCATATATTTGGGTGGCGCACCACTCTCAACCTAGTAACCTAGACAGTGACGTGTGACCTCAACAACATATCAGTGTTGTTTTTAGAAATGTCACTTTTCATTGTATATCAATATTGATTTCATATATATCAATGCTAACTCAATATATATCAATGCTCACTCCATATCAAAATTCATTCACTGTATATTGATGTTCATTTATAACATTTTTCCAGGTTGGTTTGCCTTAATACCCATGTGTCAAACACAAGGCGTGTGGGCCAGATGAGGACCGCCACACAATCCTGTCCGGCCCGCAAAAGTATTTTCCTGTTCTATTAATATTAGCCTGTTTCACAATGCGCTGCACTACAGTCCCCAGCATGCACTGCAACGTAATGTGCTCTGACTCTCCTACCCCAACAACAGTCTATGGGACAGTGGATACACCTTAATTCTACACATTTCTACACAATTCCACGCCATATGGTCATATCACCAAATGCATTTCAGCTGAAGTTCAACCAATATAAGCACTTAATGTTAGCAGCTCAGAATGTGAGCCTAAGTATTAATAAATGTACAGCAAAGAAAGGATGCCAGGTGTCTAGTTCAAGCAAATAGGTAGGTTTAAAAGCCTGAGCTCCTGGGGACATTTAAATTTTGAATATTTCAAATGTCCATGTAATATTTTGAGGTCTACTACAAGTACCTGTATTTTACTATTGAAGGTTTTGCATATTTTGAATTAATTTTGAATTGATTTTTTTTTTTCCTCTGGCCCTCAGATTAGTTGAGATTTTTTAGTATGATGCTTTTACTGGTTGAGTTTGACACCCCTGCCTATATATATATATATATATATATATATATATATATATATATATATATATATATATATATATATATACATAGTCAACAAACCTCGTTTCTCCAACATGATAACTTTACAAGAGAAGGAAAAAAAACTCCTTAACTTTGAACTTTGGGAGTTAATGGAACCAGATGTTTTTTTCAAGTGATTTTGGATTTATATGAGTCTGTTCATCACAAAATGTTAATACAAAGAGCAGCTAGTATTTTCTAATTATATCTATTCAAGCTTTTGTGCCAACAGCAAATGCATATCACTGCTGTCAGAACAAAACTCATTTTTCAGTTTTTGACATAATTTGAAAATGCCTGTTGTCCTTTACATTGTGTGTAAAGTTAATGAAGAATGGACCAAAAGAATATATATATATATGTGTGTATATATATATATATATATATATATACACATATATATAGGTAGATATATATATTAGATATTACTTGCATAGGGAAGGGGACAGACAGAAAAATACTTGCATTTTGTGAAGCAGAAAAGAGAAGCTGTTAAAGGTTCTGTGTAATTTTCTGTCAAGTAGACTGGGCTGTGAAAGGAACATAGGAAGGAATAGTCTATTATTGACTATGGTGGTGTTTTCACAATTTGAAAATGACAACAGAACTTTTACAAATCTGCACAAGTGAATTTATTATGACTAGAATTAACATCAGTGAACCCAACACAAGAGGGCAAGCATGAGCTTCCAATGTACTGCAGCACTGGGACAAGTGTACGGACAGGCAGGAGAATCACTAATCTGAAATCAAACTGTTTAATCAAAGTTAATTCTAATTAACATATGTAGCATATCAACAATGTCCCTCACTCCCACCCACCCATTTACAGTACACACACACATACACACACTGCAGGAGGTGGCCCACGGTGGGTCCAGCGAGGCACTGAGCAGGAATAAAAACAGTCTTAATTAGTCCAATAAAACCCCAAGTGCCTGCTCTAATGGAGAGATGAATGTGCAGAGGACGCAGCAGAGGACCTTTCTGTTAACCGCTGTCAAACAGTCAATTACCGCAAAATGAGCCATGCGTGCACCTCAGAACACTCATCACCGGTGCCAATGAAAGATGAGCACGCCGTAAACGTGTGCAGACACACAAACACGCAGGCAATAGCCCTAAACTAAAGCTTTTACAGAAATGCTATACATGCTAGATATGTTAATTATCACAGACAATCGTTTCTCTATGCTCAGAAAACAACAGAAAGCCCATTTACTCACTACTTATAATAGAAGCCAAAGGTAAGGTGCTTTTAAGCATCTGCCCATTATTTTCTACTATGCAAAAGTCAGAGACCACCCTTGATTTATAGAATTTCCAGTGATACAGCCATTAAGTACAACGTATTAACTTTTCAGCATCAGGTAAAAAATAATTTAGCAGAAAATTACACAGAAGCTGCAACAACTAAATGTAAAATGTACTTTTTCAGTATGTAGTGGATCCACTCTTTGCTTATATTACAGCTTCCATTCTTTTCAGGAGTCTTGCTTTCAGTTTTTCAAAGAAATCTGCACCACAACTCCAAAGTTCAGTCCCAGAAGTTGGTTGCATCTTTTTTTTGCCATTGTCCAATTTTCCCCACTATTTGGTCATGTCCAATTCCACCCACAATTACACTGCTTCTTTTTGAACTGCTGCTAATTCAAGGTCATTGGACTGCTGAACACGCTTGGAGGAGAACACTAACCACCAGCTCTGTTACATCAGCTAACAGATGTCTGCGATGGGATAGCATCGCACTGAGTGATGGGGGGGCAGGGAGGGCCACCCTAACCACCCAGAGAGAGCGAGGCCTATTCTGCTGTGTTGGACTCGTGGCCACGAATGGCAGAAGCATCACTGGGGATCAGACTTGCGATCTCCTGATGATAGGGCCAACATTCAGACAGTTGCGCCTCTCAGGGAGCCTTGGTTTTCTGTTTCTCACAATCCAAGTAACATCCACATCCCAAACACATTCAGTGATGTTGAGGTCTGGACTCTGGGGTGGTCAGTCCATTGTTCTGAGAACACCAGCAGCTTTGTTGTTTCATTGGCACATGGTTGTCTTCTCACAGTGAAAGGATGGAAACACGTGTGGATTTTTTCAGATCTGAATTAAGAGTGGAGCTTCATTTTCTCTCAAAGATGAGAGCCTTAACTGCTGTTTATCTGATAGTGGTCAGTTTTGGTGGTGTACAAGGTCTTGCACGGTTGTCAGGAGTCCCTTTTTCTCTGTATCTTTTAATTATTTTTGGACTCCGGTTTTGGAGACCCCTCTTGCCTCTTTTATTTTCCTTTGACTTTTCCCTTCCTTATACAAGTGGACTATTTATTATTATTATCAAATCTTCTCAGAAATATCTTCTGTTGTATCAATTGGTGTTTTGATTGGACATTGAAAAAACAAAGGGTGCTCTCTGACTTTGCCACAGTGTTGAGGGTGAGCAGGTTTTGTATGCTTGTACTACAACACAGAAAAAACATCAAATTGTTGTCCATGGAAATTGATCATATGAGACAGAAGCAGAAGTAGTACACCTTTAAATTTGCCTATTTGCCTAATTAGACACAAAACCTATTGTCGAAATGAAAAGCAAAAGATAACCAAACCAGAATGCTGATCAAAAGTCTAAAAGACAAGCCTAAAACACTTTTCTAAGACATAGTGTCACTGAACAGGAGTCAGAAGCTAAAAGGAGTCCCGTTGCTTTAATAATTCATAAGAAGCAATCATAAGAAGTAGCCTAATATCTGATAATCTTCTATATTGAATGTCATTAAAGTAGAAGTTGTGGAAGCGGAGGACCTTGTTAAAGGGGCAGAGCGATGGCTATTTCATTAGCCCAAAGTGCAGGCCAAGAAAGAGTTATTGTAATCTCCTCTATTGTCCAGGTGACCTCTACTCATCTTTAGCTAATGCTTATGCTGGATGAGATTTTTATTGGAGCCGGCACTGTTATAGTAAAAGGGGACGGGCAGGAGACACATGCTCAGTAATGGAGCTCAGGAGCTCAGAGGGAACGTGTCCACGTGCCTTCTACTGAGAGCTACCAGCTGGC